GTTCGATACCTTGCGAAATTGATGGAGACTCGACAGTTTAACAAGTAAATTCCCTCAAACTCAAGTGTAAGATGGAGACAGATCCTCCAGTCAGTAGCTATAGACGGACCCCGTAATCAGGACATTACACCCGAGATCAAAAAGGGACCCCGTAAGATTTGATTAAGTGCAAAGGTAGTAAAAAAGGGAAAGAAGGGTTTAAATATCGAAAAGTATAAACAACCTAGAGATTATAATTGAATGTTGATATTAAAAGTTATGTTACGCGAATGTGTAAATGTACTCCACGTATCAATATTGAAAAATAAAAATGAAAGCATGTCATATTGAGTGCCAGTGTGCTTTAATCCACAAGAGCCCTGAGCCAAGACGAGGTTTTACATCGGGGATATTGTCTGGGTATATTAAAACGCAGCACCATGCATTACATGTCAATGTCAAGTTTGCGAGACAATTTTGTAAATATTTTGCTAACAAAAATGATATAATAAAATGACATTTTATTACATAATTGTCGTTTATTCGTGTAAAGATATTATCAATGATATGCTTTACTGTAGGAAAGTTCCAAGTTCAAAGGTAAATCGTACACATTGATAGAGTTGGCAAACCATTTTTCACACAATTATTCTTAATAAAAAGGAAATCATTATTAAAAGTTGCATAACAAGAATATACCGTTTAGTTTCCTTATTCAGAATGCTTCATTGGAAATGACAAACGAAAGGCCTTTCTGATCCCGCCATAATTCTTTTGAAGACTACTTTTTAAAAATCTCCACGTCTGTCTTTTTAAAACTGCTGTGAGCGCAGCATGTCTACTCGCTTTAAAGACATAGTCAACTGTTCCTCAAATACACGTTATCTAATGATACAAGAATAATTTTAAACAAATATTGACTTAAATGGCATATCAAGATCTGTTTGAATAGGCTGATTTAAATAACTAGGTAATAATGAAGGCGTTTTGGTCGCCTTATACTCTAGTTTCCTTGTTCAGTTTTATATTGTATGGGACTCGATCTTAACACGAAAACACCGACATAGGATACCATGTTTTCGGTGAGTTGATGTTTTTTAAAACTTGATTTTAAAATAGACAAATTCTAATTAGTAGGAAAGTGAAAGTGCTGACCCCCTTATTTTCATCAACATTAAGATTCTCTTAGTTGGATTATATAGTTTTGCATTGTTGGTAACACTTTCAGTGGCAGTTTGTTTATGGATGCATTTTGGTGAACAAATTTTTAAACAGGCGAAAGAGAGACGGTGGATTCATTCATGTTATTCAATATGCATTCTAATAAAAGATCAGAGTAATGAGCAGGCTAATGAACAGATGAATCTTTTCTTGCGAATTGAATACAAAGTTTGACAGAAAACCTTAAATAGATTCTTTACAATCTTTTTTTTTCCAAAAAATTCACACAGTGTTGTTTAAAAGGGGCAATTGTCGCAAGATATACACTTTTGTTATTTATTTTATAAAAGAATTACACGAGTTATCTTATGTTTCTAACAGAAAAGACGTTTTCTTACGAAAAATAATTTTAAGTTTGTTATTCAAGCAAATAAAACTGTAAGTTGTTAAAAATTTAATGATATATGATCAAAAGATACCCGGGGGCGTCATTCGTGCGTGTTTAAGTGTCTAACCTGTTGCAGTCCTAGTAATATTTTTGTTCAAACCGTCACATCTATGACATGAAAGTCATGTCTAATCCACGTTTACCGTCTGTATTAGTGTTCATTGCATTAAATTAAACAACGTATTTAAAATTCGATTTTATGAAAAGAAAAGCCAGTAACAAATCTCCAAAAACCACAGTCTGAGTGATAATGATGGTTTTGCATGGGATCTTTTTATTTCAGAAGATTGTTTATTCCATGCAAGAAGAAATTGGAAAAATTTCAGATATATATCAAAATTTCACGTGGTGCGGAAACATTTCACATATATGTACAAAAATTGTATGAGTTTAACATTCAAAATTTGGCAGTTTTTTGGAAGGTCGGAAATTCCTATTCATTAGCATGTATAATGCTGTATATTGTATGGATGTTTTTCATGCTAACAGTGATATTGGTATGTTGACTTTTCCTGCTTTATAAATTACAAAGCAATGGTTTCTCAACTGTTTGATAAAGAAACACTTACTACATTTAAAAGAAATTTGTTTTTACAATTAATTTGTCGTTGACAATATATAAATGTAGGCAAATGCAAGGTTTGTTTACCAATTGTTTTTAATCTCAATTCAAACTTGAATAAAAACCAGTCTGAATGAATTCTTTGATAAGCATATTCTATGCTTTGCAAGGCTTGGGAAATATATTCCTATCGGATTTGTAAATTTCCCATCAATTCAGAGCCACACGCTTTCACACGATTGTGATGGGCGTTTTTACTCGTTGTTCGCTCCGCGGTAAATCTAATTAAGAACTGGCCAAATTGGTAGGTATTTGATAATTTGTCGCCATTAGACTAAAAATTGGGTTTCCAAAAGGAACATGGTCAACAGAATGCCACAAAGAAACGTTTATAGCATATGACGTGCTTTTGTATAAGATCTTTAGATATATGCCCATAAACGATAATGAAAAGATACATTTTCTTATTATCCACATGACATCTTAAAAGGGTCCCCTGAACAGTAGCCAGACACGAGTCAGGCACACTATACTCATAAAACGGGCTTTTGGGTCGTTTAATTTGAAATTCAACACATTTGATAAATAATCAATTACTTTTCTGTCGACCTTGAAAATAAATAGTTGTCCGTTGACCCAGTGGTCACCATGCTCTTTAAAATAGTCTGTCCCCCGCTGAGTTATTTGACCTCTGTGTAAGGACCGTGTTAATGGGCGTGTTGCTCGGTCTATTGACTACTGTGTAACACATACTCCTTAATACTGTTTAATGGAGTAATAGGAGTCTGGGCCGTGAATTAAACACTTCATCATATACATAAAGGATTGAGGTGCGAGTCTTTATTTCCAACATTCAAATCTTAAATGGCCTCGCGATCGGTTTTGTGGTTGTCTGGAGTGTACAATTACCATCAAAATTATTATTTTTTCTCACTTTTCCTTGAATACGACTGCAAAATTGGGTCTAAAAGCAAACCAAACGCATATATAAAATAAAAATCATAACTTTTGATCTTTAATTAAACCCATCATGTTTAGTTAAAGTAATAAATTCTGTACTTTGCATAGTTGGTTTCCTGCTAGGTTAATCCTCTAAAATATGAAATAAACATAATTTATTGTAATTATTTTCAACATAGTTGATACAATCTATTGATACGGACAATTTACAATTGTATAACTTACATGAGATTAAAAGAGAATACTAGTCTCATACATGTGCATAGGTGCATTAAAAATGGAGACTAAAATAATGTATGTAAGTGTGCACTACCTACCAGAGATGATCCTCTATATCTCGAGTGGATCAGAAAAGTACCCGTGTTCTTTGTTAAGTAGTAAATTACAGAGACATGGGGTCAAGCATATTTAAACAAAAACAAAAAACAAACTCTCTGATAACAACAAGGACAGTGATCACGTTCAATCATAACCTTATCTTTTTTGAAATCATCAAATGAATACAAATATATACACTGTACAGGTATCTGAAACAGATGTCAAGAATATTTTACATACTGATAATAAGCAACAGATAAATTGTGAATTTGTGTGTGCTTCTTCCAAAATTGTTGAATGTTTGAATATTTTTTTCTCTTATTCACCTTTTACATTAAAAAAAAATTGAAGTCCCGTGGTTATCATAACTAAAAGAAGCCGAAGCTCTGTACTTGCAATTTGAACCGTCCAGTGCTTCGATAAATATTTTGGCCGCTCTTTATTAAACCTCTTGATCTATCTTTGACCAAAGTCAGGAAGATCTGTCAAACAGTGAAATTTGATTCTCCCTTGTGACAGTCCCCGGTAACCTAAGTACTATCATGTTACTGTCCTCTGTAGGTCTATAGTTATTGATAATTGACCTTTCACTTTCAGAATTCAATTAATTCCTAACGTTTGCATCGATCAAACTCCCAAATCTCGCTTGTATTTCGTCTTCCTCACTTTTTGACGTAACTTTATATTAATTATTCTAAGCATGTCGTTCCGTGATAGTATTGTATGAACTGTTGTCCAGTACATCTTGCCAGCTGCGACAATACATACACACTATTTCGACCCTTCAGTATATATTGTCGCTGACGACAATATACTGTAAACGTATTACATTTGGTGGTGTATTCTTTTTAACGCTTTTGGCCGAAAGATACTTCCGCTAATTCAAGTACATCGCTAAATATCTTAAACAACAATATCAAGAAATGCGCTAAATCAAATTTACGCTAACTTGTTTAAAATCACTTTCCGCTAAATATCGTATACACTAAATATAATACATTTACAGTATTTGACTACCCTGATAAACATATTGTTATCCCAGAGACAATTGTCGGAGAATTGTCCAGTAGGCATTTTCCATGAAGCAAAAGAACAGTGCAAAAGCAAGAGTATTGTTATAAGAGTGCATGTCTCTGTATACATAGTGTGATGTTTGAGTTCACAAGATATGGTATACAATCCTAAATTACATCTTAGTTTCTTCATAGAAATTTTAACACACAGTTGTCATTTTAATTCACAAGATAACGGAATACAATCCTAAAATACATCTTAGTTTCTTCAAAGATAAAAAATATTTTAACACACAGTTGTCATTTTAAGTCTAATGAAACATGAAAAATTGTTATATTGTAGAATGATTATTTATAAACATTTTTTTTTATTATAACTAATAGAATAAAAATACTTTTTAAAAAAACTTGAGATTTAAAGTGTATAATGTTTTTAAGTGTTTAAACAATGATACTTTGTGAATCTTATAAGATAGTAATTTGGTTATCAAGATTTTGAAACCTTATCACATTACCGTTGAAGTTGACACAACTCAAAGATATGTCAGTACTGAGGGAAAAGGGCAAAGCGCAGTACGTGTATAACCACAGACACACACAGTAGAAAACGGTCCAATTCTACATGTATTTAAAGGGACGTCCACCATCTGTGTAACACTGATACTCTTTGCATTGGTTGAAGGGACTTTAATTAAATAGTGTCCAAAACCCAGCCTTGTTATTTGTGTAAACACTCAGTTAATTGGATTTAATTTTTCGCAACTGAATTTAAAAATATTGGAATTAGGTTTTTTTTTTCTTTACAATTTTACGATTTTCTGCTTATTTCGAAAGGATATTCTGTCTAAGGATTTTTTATTTGAAAGGAAAATCCAGCTGCAATGGTAAGCTATTGTATTGTTGTTACTTATTATTATTTTGCAATATAAAGCATAAAATGTGACTGACTTTTCAAAAGCTTTTTGTGGCCAGTCTTTGTGTGTTTTTGGGATACCATTTTTCTCTCCATCGAACAAGCCTGGTCTCTTGTATGCCCGATTGAAACCAAATTTAAGAAAAAATAAACACTACACGGGCACTTCAACATCTTAGTGAATATTCTGTTTAATTTTTCAATCTTTTTAAGACTACAAGAAAAGCACTTTGTTGCAGCTAAGTAAATGGTAGGATTTCATACATTCTGTTGGGGGGACTCTTGAGCATGTATAAATATTCCTGACTTAGAGTTCAAAATTTGAAGAACTCATTAAATAGGAATCAGCTTAGAAAAAACACTTGTGTTGCATTTCTTGCATTCTTGCACCAAATCGCATGCCATTTACAAATATACGTGCAATTTTTAAATTATGCAAATCATAAGTTTGACAATCCAAAAGTAATTTAATATGTTCTATCTTATTTTCCAGATTTCTTGGATACTTGGTAAGACTTGGCCTCTCTTTAAAGCCAATAAAAATATCATTCAAATATTTTAAATGCAAATTAGGAGAAGATGTATGTAAATTTATTATTTTCCATTATTTTGTAGTTGTGCTCCTTCTGTCCCCTGTTCTAGTTATCAGTCAAGACCAACCTTTCCTACCAAGATCAAGGGATGGTACGTATATTACCGCACATTATAGAAAAATATCTCAGCAAAAGCTATTCAAATAATTAACATACATTTAACAAAATTTATTTCAGGGTCATATTACTTTTCAATAGATAAAGAAACATGTCATTAAGTTAGCAAAAAGAGCGTTTGTGCCTTTCACTTAACCAGTTTGGTTATTTGGTGCAATTTGTACCTAATTTGTGCACGATTTGCGCTTTTATTGAAATTTTTAGTTTGATACGGATGGGTCATGCCACAAGCACTTGTTTACATATATTTTGGTGCAATTTGTACCTAATTTGTGCACCTGTTGTTACTCTTTTTTTAACACCAAAGAAATTTTTCAGGGATGCCTTGTTTCATATACAGGGCACCTTTACTCTTTTTAACACCAAAGTAGGGATGCCTTGTATACGAAACAAGTGCCTGTGAGGTTAGCCCCCAAATAACCTCCTGAAAATTTTATCAATGAAATTCTTTTACTTGATTTGTTTGGTTCAATTGTTTTGATGTTTGGAAACGGTGAAACTCTCTTCCGCAATAAACATTAGCTTTACACGTCAGAAGAAGACGTAACCAAGATAAAAAAGTATGTATTATAACGGTAAACTAGTAAAACAATACAGAGTTTACACAGGAGAAACTAGCTAACAAAAAGATCAAATAGGACTAGACATTCGTACCCGGCTACTGCAAAGAGCCAAAAAGATAACCCCAAAACAGGGAGACGGGCATCTGGGGTCACGACCAACAAAGAAATCTATACTGCAATAAATAGATAAAAAATGAAAGATTTATTTAAGTATAGGTGATGATTTAAATTAAAAGGTGAACATAATTTGGAATTTTTAATAATTTGTTTTTAAAAAAGTAAAATCAGCATATTCAATGATTTTTTTGACACCTTAATGCTTTCTTCTGCATGGAAAAAGTTTAAAGAATTGGAAAAAGTCGAATTTAATCCTATTGACAATAATGACATTTGTTGAATGTATATATAAACATAGAACAATATCGGTAGCTTATCAGTACAACTTAGATACCCACTTGACTCTAGAATTAAGGACATAAATATTGTCAAAAAGTAATGGAACTAAAGTGCACTTACGAGAAAAAAAGTTGAAGTGACTTAGCCACGTGTTCTAGACAATAAAATGAGTACCAGTAACTATTCAAACAAAGATTTAGTATGGCAAGTGAGGTAAAAGAAATGGCCTAAATATTAGTTTTGTCTGGCAACTTCACTTAGTTAGAGGGAGGTCTTATTTTCTGAGAAAATGTTTATAGTTCTAATTAGATTTATTCCATATGTAAAGGTTAAATTGTACCCGTGAGGAAAATACAATTATGATTAGGGCAAATTGAACAAACGTTTCTATCGAAGCATGCTAACATTCGCATTTTATTGTTGCAGAGTATTTTTGTCGAATTCATTTAAAAAATGCATTTTTAAACTTAATTGTTCGTTACGAAAACAACTTACTTCTTTTGAGAATTTCAATATGCTCATTTCATTGGTAAACCAGCTAAAAATATATTCATGATTTTCTATGCAAAAGACAACAAAACAGTTTTTTTTTCTTTTATTGATTCTGAAATTTTTTTTTTCAATCTGCTTAAAGATCATAAAAAAAAATATTGTTAAAAGATAGTGAGTCGTGTGAGTATCACGTGATTTGATTCCAGAGTGCGAAGTGGTGGATCTCATATTTATCCTGGACAGATCCTGGAGTCTCAGGTCCCCGGAAAACTTCCAGAAGGAGCTGAGTTTTGTAGCCGATGTCGTCTCCGTCCTCGACTTTAGCAAGTCACGTGTTTCCGTCATCACATTCAGCGACGATGCTGACCTCAACATCCAGTTTAATGAATACAGAACACTCAGCAGTTTCCAGAACGCCATCCGAACACTCCCCTGGGTTGGCGGCAATACTTATACCCATAAGGCCATAGAGATGATGTTAAGTGAATATAACAGTCATATACAGACCCGGGCCGGTATTACTACAATAGGAGTTATCATCACAGATGGCGGCTCCACGGATCCCTACAAACTGGAGGACGTGGTAAAAGTAGTCCACAACGACAGAATAGAGATGTACGCTATTGGTATGTATGGATCTGCTTTAGGCATTCGGTGCAAACGTTGATTGTTGGTTTTGTGCCTCTCCATCTTCTTTGACCAAGAAACATAAAAGAAACTTGTACAAAAATTTTATATTCCTTCCAAACAAATAATTACATTTTTCAAATATTTGAGGTAAAACAATTGACAAAATATGGCACATATGTTTATTTTAAATTTCGTATTCGAAACATATATATTTACAAAAACACATAAAGTACTTGACATATGACTATTCAGTTAATTACTACACAATAAATAAAGAAAAAAATACTTATTACATTGATTTCAACAAAAGAGTAAATTTACTTAAACCAAAAAAATTACACAGACGTCGCCAAAGTACCCTGGCTAATGAATGATTGATTGTATGCTGTTTAGCGTCGCGTCATTAGTATTTAAGCCCTATTTTGGAATTAATGAATTAGGATAGTGTTCATACTCTATTTGGTAGTTGTGTATTCTAATCTGTCTCTCGGTAATATTGATGACTCAGCAGATCCTAACGTTTATTCATCCTTCATTTTCTGATGAGAGCTGCAGGGTATCATCACCATAATTGGGTTTTAGCTAATGTTTATGTTAAACAGATAAGTACCCCACTCTTCTTGATAAGGACTCTCGTGAAATAATGTTTGATCTTGACAATTTTATCAGCATGTGGCGCTTATGGTACACCCCAGTAAGTGTGTATAATGACATGTCATTCATGTTCTCTGACTCCAGGCGATGGCCTACATACATAAATACATAACTGACCCAATAATTCTTATATACATAAATTTAAGCTAGAATTTAATAAATTCAAGAAATCTAAATGAATTGGGACCAGTAGTGACCTTTATCTTCTTGTCATATCTGTTTATACCTTGGTTTGTCGTAAACTGTTTACATAGCAATATTTATCTTAATTAGGCACCTGAAGAGAACATTAATTGTACTACCTGAATTTATCATCTTATTTAAACAAACATTTTGAATTCAAAGACTGTATTTGAAAAGTAGAAATTTGTATATTAATTGAAGCTGGCAATGTATTAATGTCATAGTATCATCCTTAATGTGTAACAAATATAAATTATTGGTATCTGAAAAAATGTGAAGTGTTAATGAACTTATTTATATTGTGAATTAGAATTCACAAAAATTATGTAACTTCAAAGGGATCTGAGACATTTACCAAGAATATTTGTTCACATCCAAGTTTCAATGTAATAAGTGTCATTAAAAGATTTAAACATAAAGCTAGTGTATAAGACGAGGGTACTTTTACCTTTGTAGAGGATGCTTCTTATTAGTGAATAAGAACACGAAGACATTCCCTTTGTATTTAAAACATTAACAAGACCTAGATTCTGACTTCAGGTGTTGGAGATGAGGTCAACCGACAGGAACTCGAGATGCTGGCTACCGGTTATGACCACGTGTTCCTCCTGAACGACCTGAATTCTCTGTCTACAATTCAGGATAAATTGGTTGGACGTTTTTGCCGAGGTAAGGCATACCTGTGGTCCCCAGGTCATAACCCAGACGCCTCTCACCTGACATGACAGTTCTTAAAAAAAGTCCCACACAGCTGAACAAACTGTGCAATCGTCTCTGTATCATGCACTACCTATGGGCTCCCATTATGAAGATAATTCATTGTCTAAAGTTTCACATCATCTTGACCTTTTTAAGTCCACGTTAGATGCCATCTTCTAGATGTAGGCAATTTGTTAGACAGATTAGACAAAGGTTCTGAATTCTAAATTGTCATATTTTTTGTATCTGCAAATGCCACATTCAGCAGGAATATGCTCTTATGCTTTGATATAAGGAATTCTTAAGCTATTTCATTTGTAGAAGATTGTTTTCTTAACCAAGGTTCTTGAAATCAACTTCCATTTTAATTATATAGGTGCATGTATAACCCTGTCCCTTTCCTTTCAATACAAATATCAATTCAAACTTAAAATAGACTAGTACTCTTTTCAAAAGTGTTTTCTCAAAAGTGTTATTTACTTGTAGTTGGGAAATTATTATTTTTTTTTATAAAATGACATACATGTAACTATTTCAGAAATGTGCTGCAAAATCATTTTCATGTCTTTCATTCACAGAAACATTACACTCTTAGGTGTGCCCTCAAGATTTTTAGACATACAAATGCAAATTATACCATTTATGAAAATATTTTCTTATGGAAATTTAAAAAAAAGATATGTCTAATATAAAGTTTCTGCATAAGTGTCAAATTAAGAGTAAAAAAGAATGCCAAAGAACGTTTATTGGACCTATCTATATATATCAAAAATTTTGTTATCCCAATGTTCCTATTGTCCCCACTTTTGCGAATGCACAGGGACTATAAATCCCATTCATCGTTCCGTTTGTCTGTCTGTGAAAATAAACCAACCTTTAAACCTTGTTGAAAACTTCTGAATGAAAAATGACAGGACTTTCATACCAGTATGTTCATTATGTTCATATTCTAAAATTGCATTACCTGTTCAAAGACATTTCCAAAGTGTACTATGTTCTTTTAGTTCATTACTTTGAAGTTTAATCTACTCTTCAGTTATCGTAATTATGTTATGAACCAAATAGACAAAGATTCCATATCCTATGAAAAGACCCCTCAAATATACTGTTTTTGACCTCATAACTTAAATCTCAACATTTTAAAAAAGTTTAAGAATGAAATATGTAGATATCGAACAGTAACCAATCGCAAAACTCTATTAAAACAATAAATTTTGGAAGCAATACAAACACGGACCTCCAAACATTAAAAGTGGAATCAGGCTTCATGCAGGAGCAATCATCCCGCTGTCGACTGTTCTCACCTGGTGTTTGCTCCTCTGCACGATCTGACAAAAGAAAACATCAGAGACCATTCAGTGTGTAAATAATGGCTTAACAAATTGCATAAATACATTAATCAGCAGTCAACTTCTTGATAGATGGTATTTGATGACAAGGCCGTTTTATGGTTTATAGAATCTGAGAATTGTTGATTTTAAACTGTAGATATGCTTGTTTATCAACTTGTTTGTAATTAGCATGCCTCGTTAGTTAAAACAATTTTAGGTCGTTGGTCTGACAAAAACAGGACACACAAGATACCTCAATATGCCAAAGATAATTACACCTAAAGCAATAAGCTCCGAAAAGCGGGGACTACAATCATCCGATTTTACTCGGTTTTTAGTTAATAGTTAAATGTTAATATTAATGAACATTTTCAAATACAGATTAGACCATATAAAGAAAACTGTCGGGAAAAATGCAAAAATAAAATTTATGATTAGTACGAAAACCTCTCGTTTGTGTTTATTGTCGCTTCTGTTTCCATTTTTTTAAAGATTGAAGCAAATTAAATTTATATAAAGATCATATGACTTATATTTTTAATTTTTTAGGAACTCCAGCCCCTACTCAAGGTAAGTAATTTAATAGAATTTGATAAATATTTATATAAAGTATGAAGAAAGGCAAATGTCTCGTGAAATTTCGTTACAAGATTTTGGTACTGAAGGCACGGTGACACAGATACCTATAGGCAATGTGAGATACCCGTGTCTGGTAACAGACCAGTAACACGACCCTCCTCTGTATTGACATCTCCTACTATCAGATTTGGCGCGTTTCCCCTGGTTCAGTGTTCTCTTTATTTACTTAGATTAGTCCAAGAATGCCTCTGCTGGGGCGTAAGAGCGAATCCTTTTTTTCTCTTTCATTCGAATATGTATTTAATTAAAGACATATTAAATGGATGTCAGAAATCATTTGTCGAGAAATTATTATTTAAAAGATGCTTTATAGAAACCTGTCGTGTAATCTTTTTATATGAAACAGGATTGAAAATGATATTTGTAAAGTTTTGAAGCTAATTAAAATGAACTGGTAGCATATTTTGTGTTATTCTTGTGTATGTGAAAGGCTGAAAGCCTATTTACCAAAACCTAGTTTTATACTGCATTTAGTTTGCCAAAATGTAAACTCTCTGCCATTTTTAACCTTTGCAAGGAAACAAATTCAGGTATTTTCTCCATTCCCCTTAAGTATCACAAATAAGTTAACAAGATGGTCTATATATTTGAAAAGAATAAACACTGTCTTAGTCAAGTTACTTCTAACATGGTAAACTGCATGATATTACCAATACATGTATTTATATTTATTGTATATAAATTTAATGCAATATTAGTATCTGTAAAAAAAAAACCCAAAGTTTGTTGTATATGTACATAGTGACAATAATAAAAGTGATAACTTACCAATTTGTAATGGTATTTTTGTGTTACAGATCAATACATCGCTTGTAAGTTACAATGACGTAAAGCAAATCAAATTTCTTTGCATCTTCAACTTCTGAGTTATTTTTCAGACTTGTAAATTTCATATTCTGTTAACCAACCACACATTCTATTATTAATGACTTTGAAAAATTGTCTGTATGGGTATGCTAGTGGGGTATTTGGTTGCTGTTGATGTAGTAAAGCCAGTCGAGGTTTGTACGGCTACGCCAACATTTAATTAGTTGCTACAATAAATTTTGAGTTAACCTAGTTTTAGGACGTAGTTGTTTTCTCCTGTGACGTTTTCAGAGTTGTTACTCAGAAGGATGCTAACACAAGATGACTTTGGTTTTAACCCTTCCTTGCTGTCATTTAGAATGTAAACAAAGTAAGAACTATATAACGCTATTGCTAGCTATCGTGCACTGTATAGCTAATATACTGATACACTTGAAATATTTCTTCAATTCACTATGTTGTCAGAAACTTTTATTTCGAATTTTGAACACATCTTGAATAAATTAAAAATAATAAAAAAGAAGCAATGTAAACACATCAGTTATGAGTAAATATTGATAAAACCTCTTAGAAACGAATTGAAAAGATTCATGCTTTCATAATTACATTAAAGCCTGTGTCAGCAAGTCTGCCAATGTGCTTGTCTTCGTCGATGACTATTTACCTCAACAACAGCAATACCAACAGAATCTGGACATTGCTACTGATTTTATTAATCGTCTTACTAGAAGCATAGGACGTAAGCACAAATTTAAATTGGTGCGAAATAATAGTGTTCTTACCTTTCCGAATATTCAAAACTTTATGGGAGCTCTTCGTAGTACTTCTTCAAGTTCTGGATTATCAAATGACAGAAATGTTTTTGATATTGACTTGAAATCGGGCTCTGTGAATATTGCTATGATTATTGGATTGCCTTCCAAGGAGCTTTTTCAGCAACGGTCGGATAGACTTGCAACTCCAACTTATATTATAGGTAAGTGAACATTATTTTCGTTTGGTCTCTGAGCACTGGAAAAACATGATTATTCAAAGCAACAGATCTGTCCCCTTTTTTCTCTAGGAATAAAAGAACTGAGAAAAGATGTGTTGGAGCAAATAGTCCCGTCAACCAAGAGTTTTCTTGTTCAAAACATAAATATGTCAACACAGATTGTCAAAGCATTGGCCTTAGAGATGTGTTCAGGTATAGAGTACATTAAATGCTCAAAATTGTGATTTAATTGTTAAACTCTACACTATTCAATCAATGCTCGGTTGGAAGTAATGATCATTACGTGAATTTCTTTGTTAGGTTGTGAAGATGTTGATTTATATTTTCTATTGGACACGTCTAATAGCATAGGACCAGAAAAGTTTCAGAGAGAATGCAAGCTGGCGTCAGATTTGATCAAATCAATGGGTATGAAGAATGGTCACTCCTCCATTACTACGGTTGATTATAGTGATACACCGGAATTACACGCCTATACAGATATAACACAGTTTCCATACTTAGTTTTGTCCAAAACTTGGAGGGGAGGAAACACTATGACCCATCATGCATTGGAAATGGTACTTAAAGCTTCGGCGGGAAAAACCAAGAACAGACGACAAGTGGGAATCCTTATGTCAGATGGCGCTTCAACTTCTCCAGATCGAACAGAAAGAAGCGCACTCAAGGTTCACAAAACTCAACTCGAAATGTTCACTATTGGTATGTTAAGCACTTCGTCAAAGACATGCTGAAAAACATTTTTTTTTTACTTTCATGACTTTTTTTATTACTTGATATATTTCTAACTATACAATTTTGCCATAAGAATTTGCTAAATACAATGAAATCAAAAAATTGGTTATTTTTTGAAAGGTTTACTTAGATCAACTCTCGCTTTTTAAACACTTCTCCTGGAATTGTTTCGATGGATCTTATAATACAAGAAATCTGTACGTAACAAGATTTCTATACCTAGCGATTATTGAATGGATATATATCATATATAATTCAGAAAATTCATTACTTCTATTCTTAAAGGGATGGGAGAAGATGTCAATGTTGACGAGTTGAAGATGATAGCATCTAAACCTTCCAACATGTTCATGGAAAAATCGGTCACTGTTGACAATATTGCACAAGCAGTATGTAATGGTAAGCGTATGTAGTTTTGATTTTTATTTAGAACATTCGATTTATAATTTGCCTGAGGTTTTAAATGATTTTCACTTCTGGTTTATATGGCTAATATATGATCCTTGTTGTTGCCTTTGTTTTTCAGGCGCGATTATTGATAAGGATAACGAAGTACCCTCTAACAATCAGGGTAAGTCGAGTGATTGCTTTTGACTTGGAATTTCTTTTACGGTTCTATGATATATGATATGATATGAATATATGATGTGAAAATTAAATTCAACAGCGAAATCTTGCATTACTTTTAACATATACCCCATAAGCCTTTTTTAAGATTTTATGCAGCATTATAGTTTTCCTATAGAAAGTTTGTCTGAAGAACATAACAAAGAATAGTACTACTGCCACTTATTACTGAATATTTGATATTTCAGATTGCAGAGGGGCGTTCGATATTGTTTTTGTTCTGGACAGTTCCTGGAGTCTTAACAGCGAGAAAAATTTCCAAAAAGAACTTCGCTTTGTGACAGAATTTGCAAGTGACCTTCGCTTCGATTTTAATCAAGCGTCTGCGTCAGTGATAACATATGCTGACGAGGCCGAGGAATACACTTTTCACAATGGAAAAGATTTCGAGCAAACAGTTCTAAACTTGCCGTGGATTGGAGGAAATACGCATACGGAAAAAGCTATTAATATACTTTTGCAACGTGTTGAGCGGAAGGCAAATTCTGTCCAGCAAGATTTCGAAAGACCACTTGTTGTTATACTTATCAGTGATGGCGGATCGACCAATCCTTTTAGGTTAGAAGAGGTTGTCTCCAGACTTAAGAAATATAAATTTGTCAAACTGTTTGCAATAGGTAGGTTTTTCTCCCTTGTGACCTTAGTTCAGAGTATCCCTCAATGGAAATTTAATACTAAATCTCATTTTTGACACTAGTGAAAATAGACATGATAAATCCTTGTATTTCATTATAAAAGTTCTGAACTATTGAAAATCAAAATTTTTATTCAAAAATTAAAATCGATAGAATTAAAAAAAATGAATTCATGAAAAGCACTGCCCACGAACAACTTAATAATGATTTGAAAAGTGAATATGGTTTTTAAAGCAAAGTTTTCTTTAAAGGCGTGGGAGTAAGCATCAATACAAAGGAATTGTTAATGATAGCATCAGATCCATCAGACAATTATATGTTTATGGTAGACGATTTAGGAGTCAACAATAAGATTCTCAAATCACTGCTGACATCACAGATATGTCGAGGTATATGCTTCTGAAATCAATTATGATGCTTTAGGAAAAAAGCATATCAAGAAAACAGTTAATGTTCAATAAATTTTACTTTATATTTAGATGCAAAGTACTTGTCTTTGGTGTCTCCGACTGCCGCCTTTAGTGAGTAATCAGAAAGTAAATTAATTTTCATCGTTAACACACAGTATTATCGATTCATCTCACACGCTTTCTATTTAATATACTGATTGACTTTAAGCTCCGCTTAATTTAGTTCATTTGGTTCTAATAACTCAATTTCATCCTACTCGTCTTTCCTCCCTAACTTTGGATCTTATAGGTTGCCCTTCCCATGCCGATGTTGTTTTTGTGTTGGATAGCTCCTCCAGTTTAGGAATTGTTGGTAATCCCGATGTAAACTTTCGGAAGGAGGTTACATTTGTTATTGACGTCATCAAACAAGGCAGGACGGACTTCAGAAAATCACGTGTGTCTGTTATTACGTTCAGTGACGTCATGACATTAAATCAGTATTTCAATGAGGATGATTTGATAAATAATATCACTCGCCTTCCTTTCCTTGGAGGAAATACATATACTGATATCGCTTTGGAACTTATGCTAGACGAATTGAAATACCTCAGTACTATATCCCAGGCCAGAAAGCCAGCGATTGGAATAGTTCTTACAGATGGACATTCCACAAGACCAGAGCTTACTTCACGCATGACGAGAAGAATTCAAGAGAGCGGTTTTAGAATATTGGCAATTGGTACTCTTTTATGTGTCTTTCAAAGTATAACATATGAATTCGTGATTTTCTCTGAATTAAGTCTCTTCTTTAATGGATCAAAACATATATGAAAAGCCATAATAATAATAATATTTATTTTTTTATTATCTTTTCCAGGTGTTAGTTCACACGTTGACATGCGTGAACTGACAGATATTGCCTCCTCGCCAAAGAGCAACAATGTGTACCTATTGGATTCTATAGACTTGCAGAATTCGTTTCTGCCGAGTCTTTACAACAACTGTTAAAACAGACCCATGTTATTCATCAAACCTAGTCACATATTAATTCGTGTATCTAATTGTCTTTATCACTTCTGGGTTGTGGTTTATGATAGTACTTTAAAGGCCAAGTTATCCGTAGTGCTTTCAAAACATCGTTGTTAATTTGTTTCCCACCAATTCTCAGGGTACTTTTGATGTGATATTTATTTGTTCATTAATGACATTATAAATTTGATTGCTATTTGTTGCACCCGATTGTTTATTTTTGTAATAGCTCAAGAATCATGTATGATGAATATATGCTAAGTAAATACCACTGATTTATTTTGTCTTCACCTTTATTGGATATTTTTTTAAATACCAAGTAACTTTTTCAAATTCAATTTGAAAATAAAAATTGTCGTTTTTTAAATGATTATTTCTTTGAGAAACACTTTTGATTTTGAAGAGACAATCGTGATAACTATTAAAAAGAATATGAGTACCTCTTGAATATAATGCTGAATAAATATATACCTTGTATGAGAAACGTTTTCAGCAATGTTATCTAGTTGTATCTGTGTCACTGCCTTCAGTTCAGATTTTAACATGTTTAAAAAGTGTTATTTGATTTATGCTAATATTTTCTGTTCACAACATTTTAGCCCCACCGTCAGACTGTAAGTTGGAAATCGTATCGTCTTTTGCATGTCGTAGAATATAATAACTAACATTTTATTGCACCGTATGTACTGGTCCCAACCCTGTATTTACGTCCCATCCCTGACACCACACATTTACTTACAATTCATTTAATAATCCGTGTGTTTATACGTTAAGTATGAATTTTTTTTTAAAACAATATTTCATATTTATGTATAGGCATGTTAGTACAACATTTTTTACGCTGCATGTGAAATTGGACTCCATTAGTTTTGCATTGAAATAAAATCATATAGTAATAAATCCTCCCGAATCTCGGATGACCATTTTATATTTATATATTTATATACGTATATTATTAATATGTAAATTTTAATGTAATTATAATTAGTGCGAGGGAATATTTCGTTAAAATTCAAGAAGGAAATCTTAAAATTCATTCAAACATAAACTTAATCAACCATTTTTTTTCAAGAAGGATATGGAGATTAACGAACAGTATTCAGTCTCAAAGTCCATAAAACAATGCAAAATAAGAGCAGAGCAAACAAGCTGCAAGTGAAATAGGATAATTTTAGCTTTGAAATAAAGTTACATAATACCAAATCCTTCTGAGTCTTAGATGACCAATAAGTATATATTTTAAATATTATTAATATGTTAATTTTAATTGTAATTAGCAGGAAGGGATCGTATTTAGCTAAACTTTAGGAAAGAAACCCCAAAATTAATTTATACATAACTTTTAACCACCCATGATTTTTCTCTAAAAATCCATGCGAATATTATAGTACTGCAGTCTTTCTTAGAAGAATGATATGATCCCAGTATTTAGCATGGTATCCCAATCACATAGAAATCTGATTGTTAGTCTACTTTCAGTCCAATCTTAACTTTAGATGTGTTTTAACTTTTTTTCAATCTTCTTTTAGTTTCAGGGATTAAAATTTTGACATCTCTTAGCATCTGATACGTTGACATCTTCTAAGATGCTTGAGTACCGAATTTTTTTTAAAGAAAAAAAATTCTATTAAGATATATAAAAGGGAAAGTGTTTGTATATATGTAAAGTATTGAAGATTTGTATAGGCTGAAATTAATGTTACATATAGCAGAAATTAATTTACATATACCAGAAATGGCCTCAAAGTACAATTTTAATTCTTCACATCTCTTTAGATGATGCATTCAACTTGATCATATCTCGATTGTGAAAACAAAATTATTATTTCAGCAATATAAATTTCTCCTCATGCTCTCAAAATTCATAATAAAACACAAACCAATATGTAAATTCAATAAAATATCTTTTTTCAAACTCGAATAAAGAAATTATAGTTTTGGTGTAGATGAATGCAATTATACTTCTCTTCAATATGAATATCATGTATTTGAAACACACAGCTAGCAGGTATCTTGGCATACAGTTACAGATTGTTCGAAGCCAGTAGATCTTGTTTTTGTTCTGGACAGCTCTTGGAGTTTAATGGCCGCCACGAACTTTCTGAAGGAGCTGAAGTTCGTCACGGAAGTAGTGAACGCTCTCTCGGACAATATGGGTCAATCCAGAATTTCTGTGATAACTTTCAGTGACGATGCCGAAATGTCGATACCTTTGACAATGTTTACATCAAAGAGGGATTTTGTGAATAAAGTACTGAATCTGCCGTGGGTGGGTGGGAATACTTACACTGATAAAGCATTAGAAATGATGTATAAACAGTTTGACAGTATCCGTGTCCCGGGGAGGCGGAGCGTGGGGGTGGTCATCACAGACGGAGGGTCCACCAACCCCTTCAGGACGCAGTCAGTCATCAAAAAGGTCAAGCAGAGAGGAATCACAATGTTTGCAATCGGTAGGATATGTATTAGCTAAAAATGATGTCATGGATGACATTATACTCCTTGATTATTGAAATATTGAGATATTAATTAACACTGATGCAAAAACTTTTACAGATGTATTTTAAGAAACACTGACCCTGTGTTTGTGTAAAGGGTAAATTTACTATGGATTTTTATCATTACCAATTAAATACATAAGTAGCTTATTCAATTAAAATATAAATAAGTTTCAACATTATTATAGGTGTTGGAATGAGTATAAATCAAGAAGAGTTAGAGATGATGGCCTCCGCGCCAATGAGTCAACACAAGTTTTTGGTGGATGACCTTGACGCCTTACAGATGTTAAGAAGTACCATTGTGTCCAGGCTCTGTCCAGGTGGTCTTTCTCGCTGCCCAGTCTTTATTTCGTTTCTAATTGTCAAAACAGGGTTTTCTTTTAAGATCAACTTCAGTGTTGTAGTGCTTATTTTATGTTACTTGAAGGAATCCAAAAAGGGGTTTGGAGTCTTTTTTTTATATGAAAAAATGAAACCAAAAAAGGGTAGACTTTATTTTTTTGTAGTCATGCACTTGAAATGATTATACCTACCTGACTGTCTGTTTTAATGTGTTTCCTCTATATAAGGGGTTTGATTCTATAGACGCACAACCGTGTATATTTTTGTACCTAACACATATCTATGTATTGCATGTTAGGAATATATACTCATTATATAAACTTTTCAGGTCGGCCCACTCGACCATCAGCTAGTAAGTATAGTACTTTCTAATGATGCATGAAGGTATAATTATTGTACGGATTCTTATAGCTCAGTGTGGCATGATAGATGTTTACTAATGATTTAACATTTTCAGTCCGCCCATATGACCGCTCTGATTTACAGAAAACCGTCATCATCTGTTATTAGCTGAACAATTTACTCTGCATTGAATAGATTTTATTTCCTTATATTGAGTTTACATTTTGTCTTTGAAAACCTTAACAATATCTTTATGTATATTACTTGAAGTAATAATTGCTTAAATTTGATATTGAAAATTCAATATTTTTATGAAGTTTTGAGCACTTTTATGATCAGAAAATGTCTATTTTGCTTCTCTATATCACTCACTAAACAAAATTGGTAATCTTCCAATAATTTCATGATACATTGTAACTATATATAACATTTCAGAGTTGCAGCTTCTTGCTTACAAACATACATTTTTTAAAAGTTACTTTGCTTCAAAATATTCGTTTCTTAAAGAAAAAGAGATTCTGAAAATAAATCATTTTTACTTTTTTTCATACTTGTCATATATGGCTAAAACGCTTGTATCATGCCTTTTTAATTCATACAAGCACGCAGATATTACAGCATTCACGACAAAATATCCAAATCATCTCAATATCTCTAGATCTTGTGTGATATTGACAAATCATATAAAAAAAGACTGGCACCATGCGTTTAAGAGCTTCAAATGCCATCATGCTTTTGTCTTTTAGTTACTTAAAAGTTAAAACAGTAGCTACTAAAAGCTTTTAAAATATAGAGCATCTTTTGATTCAAAGCTTAAATCATATGACTATTTGAAGGAGTAGTTTTCTCTTTGTGGTAGCCTCAATAAAAAAGACAAAGATAATCATAATACCTTTGTTAACATATTTATATAACAATGTTTCGAATCTTAAAACTTAAAATTATTCATTCCTGTAATCTATGTAATATCATAAACTGGGAAAAGTTTATCTTTAATAACAGAAAATTTATCTGCATACATTCTATAATGCTGAAAAAGAAAATTATACACCTGTACCAAATTTGAAAAAAATGTCAGATTCCCTTGTCAAAATTTTATTTAAAAATAATTATTTGCATTTCTAATGAACAGTATGCGAGAGTGATCCTGCCGATATCTTCTTCATTGTCGACAAGTCCTCCAGTCTCCAAAGCCAAGAGAACTTCAACAAGGAACTTACTTTCATCGCTCGTATCATCGACAGCATCATCGTAGGGACAGGACGCGATGACTCTCGAGTAGGACTTATCTCTTTCAGCACTAATGCTTCCTTGTCATTCGGTCTGTCGGCCTACACAACCAATGATGCCGTTAAGAGTGCTGTTCTGAGAGAGAAATTCACCACTGGAGACACTTACACACACAAAGCTTTCAACATCATGCTTGAACAATTTAGAAACACTGCAAGACGTGACCCCCGTGTCAAAAAAATCGGTAATTGTGAAAATCAATATTTTTTTTTATTACAAAAAAGTTCTAATTGTTAATCAAAGTTTTGCAATTGTGCATTTTTTATTGTTAATAGCTTATAAAAGAAATGTTGCTACTGCAGTTTTTACATTTTATTTATCATAATTTCCTTAAATATTCTAAACTCGTTCCAACTTCTATTGAAATCAAACTAAGTTAAAAGAAAAAGTCGCAGTTTGTAAAAATTTCACAATGTTAAATCTTGGACAGGTGTAATTTATCTTATGTTATGCTTTATCAGACTAAAACTATAAAAAAGAGTTGTGGTGACAAATTTTCAAAATAAAATTTATGTTTATTATCTTTGACAAAACAGTACGTGGACATAAAAAAGGAAAATTATGTAGCAATAATTGTTATTCCATGATAAATAATTATCATAGCATCTACATGTATATATAGTAGACAAATTTTTGCAATCTGAGCTAGGTTGGTGTTACATAAGGTCACAATAGAGATTATCTAGGTCATTGAAAATCTTTTCAAGCCTTTTGATATGACTTTTAATATGACTTTTGAGAAGAAAAAAACACAAGAAAGACAAAAAAATATCCGACTATTTCTCCTAACCCTTTTCCTGTATATGCTGATTCTTTTTTCAGGTTTCATTGTGACAGATGGACAGTCTACAGATCCTAATACATTAAAGCAATATATTGAACAGGTCAAGTCCACAGATATCGAAATGTATGCTGTTGGTAAGTACCTATATTTTCATTCATTGTTTGATTGATTTAATGTATGGAGTTCTTTCTTTTTGCCAGTGTTTTACTCCTGTGGATACACCATAAATTTGATTAATTTCTTCAGTTATAACTTGTATCAAAACAGGAAATTTCTTCCTTTTTAAATACACACAGTATATAGGACTTATGTCCCTCAGTTTATTTGATAGGCAGAACATGCTCTACATACGAACATTTTCGGAAAACGATGCACATTATTGCTGAAACAATAACATCAGCAATCTCGTTTAAAGTCTTCATTTGGCAAGTTCTATGGTCAGTACATTGACCCTGTCGGCAGATATAATCTGCTATTAGGTGCTTTTACTTCTGCAATCGATTTTTGTTTTTGGTAAAGATACATACATTAGCCAAGAACAGTAGTGTTACAAATAAATTTGAGATATCTGGTATTCTCTAGCATTTGCGCGAAAAGTACATGAATAAATCTACAGCTCTCCATGTGTAGATTGCAGCAAATAGTGGCGCGTCAGTGGATCTAACGAGTGAAAAATACTCGAAGGAATGTTAAAGAAACAAACCCAACGTCAATAATGCATAATATTTTTATGATTTACCCACTGGATTATAGGGGGTAAAAAATAATGTATTTCTTCTGTTGTAATCCGTACAGATGTTACAATAATATTTTTTTCTCTGAAGTACATAAGTATAGATTACAGATTCATAAAAATGTGTTGTCATTCCTACTTCTATGTATTATTAGTACATAAATAGTAAATTGAAGATATTATTTTACTATGATATAGGATGCTGCGAAAAATCAGGTATTCATGAAATGAAAGTAATGACTGTATAAGTGAGTTGATCAGTGAGTTAACCATCAGTGCTTGTCTTATTGTAACAGTTGACACTGTTGTTGCAACACAGCTTTAGCATCTTCTTTCAAAAGAGATCGATTGCTTTACGAAATCATTAATTGTCGTGCTTTTAAATGACATGGTGATGCAAGTTATAAACTGCATTAAATTTGCTTTTCGGGTATGTTATCAAGACGACTTGCAGATGAGTCATTCTTAAATATGTAAGCTTGATATTAAGGGCCTATGGTATGGCTATTATAAGTGTTGCTTCTGCTTCAATTGAGTTAATTTGCGCTGCTTGTATAGAATACATTTTTCACAATCTTAAATTGAATTTTCTTAAATTGAATTTTTTCCGTTTGGATGGTTTTGAGCTACCTTTAATTTCTTTAGTTCGGTCAAATGATTCTAACATTTTTATAATATAATAGCCAAGTTTTTGTTAGATACATGTGTTATAGTAACTCCAATCAACGTGATAAAATCATAAAATGAACAAAACCGTTGCACAATTATTTATTTAAAAATCTTCATTTCAGTGTAACTCGTGTTGCTTGTCGCGGAAAGTGTAGGTCCTAAAACATTATGACGAATATTGTTTGAAATGGGCGTGTCGTTAATAATTGGAAAAAAGAACGTTTCTACAAAAATTGTAAGAAGTTTTTGTTAGCTTATTGCTTACAATTTTCACTCACAATTATTTATTTCGGAAGTGGTCACTTATATGTTTGATAAAGGAAAAAAAGGAATTCATATTACATATATTGCTTTTAATTTTGCCCAGATTTTAACAGATGTTCTTGAAAATGAATGTTTTCACCCAGAATGCATTTTCAAACTGATATATTAGCTGAAAAGAGCAGACTTGGCAATTTGCTACTTTAGGCTAAAAAAACATTGATTTTTTTTCTGAAAGATACCAATGTTCGCAAATTAACAACAAAGAGACTATAAACCATACATGATAAGTCAATCTGCTACTGACTAATTCTACATTTTTCTTTTTAAAGTCTTTTAAAGATCCAATCTATTTCTAAAAATTTTAATAATTTATTTATAGTTCTAGTCATATAAAAATCTGTGTCATAATAAGTATGAACAGTTCTATTCCTATTTTTGCTGTGACGCTTATTGAATATTCCGTTGGTAAATACTATTACTTTCGCATGTAGGTGCCGGAGATTTTGATTCGGAGGAGTTGAATATGATGGCATCTAAACCCTCAAATGTGTTCCATGTTGATGATCTGGATGACCTGCGTACAATCAGCGTAGAACTGAATCTGAAGAGATGTAGAGACCAAAAATAGGAACAATCTACAGGTAACAATCAGTGTAGAACTAAAATGAAGAGATGTAGAAACCAAAAATAGAAACAATCTAAAGGTAACAATGTGTGTAGAACTGTAGAAACCAAAAATAGGAACAATCTAAAGGTAATGATGAGTGTAGAACTGTAGAAACCAAAAATAGAAACAGTCTACAGGTAACAGTTAGTGTAGAACTGAATCTGAAGAGATATAGAAACCAAAAATAGGAACAATCTACAGGTAACAATGAGTGTAGAACTGAATCTGAAGAGATGTAGAAACCAAAAATAGGAACAGTCTACAGGTAACAATGAGTGTAGAACTGTAGAAACCTGAAATAGGAAAAAATGAGTGTAGAACTGTATAAATCAGAAATAGGAAAAATCGTAAGGTAACAATGAGTGTAGAACTGTAGAAACCAAAAATAGGAACAATCTAAAGGTAACGATGAGTGTAGAACTGTAGAAACCAAAAATAAGAACAATCTACTGGTAACAATGATTGTAGAACTCAATCTGAAGAGATGTAGAAACCAAAAATAGAAACAATCTACTAGTAACAATGAGTGAAGAACAGTAGAAACCAAAAATAGATATACAGGTAATAATAAGAGTAGAACTGAATCTGAATAGATGTCGATACCAAAGATAGGAGCAATGAACATGTGATAATGAACGCGGAACTGAACCTGAGGGGTATCTGGAAACCAAAAATAGAAGAATCAATAGGGAACAATGAGTGTAGAGCGAAATATGAGGGTAGTATGTGGAAACCAGAGAAGGGAACAATCTATAGGAAACAATGAGGGATGAACTGTAGAGGCCAGAAACATATTGAATCTACTTGTAACAATAAGCGTAGGGCAGAGGTAGATTTAATCCTGTGGTATTGTTCAGTGTATAACTGATTTTGAGAAAAGGTAACCAGAAAAAGAAACAATATATGGGTAACAATCAACATAAAATTGACCTTGAATTGAAACCAGAAATAGCAATAATCTACAGGTGTGGAACTGAATCTATAGATATGTAGAAAAAAAAACTATATCGTGTCATCATCATTGTTGGTGGATCACTCTTCCCTACGAAGTAACGTCCAAATGAACAATGCTATCAACCTAAGGTTAAATAAGAATTTATCTTAAAGGCGAAATAATCTGAAAGTACATATTGTTTTGGGCAAATGATGAAAATATAGCCCCCAAAAAGATGAGAACATGCTTTTCGTCCTTTTTTTTATATAAAACACAGTTGTTTTAGGGAAAAAAAACTAATTTAAAAGATAAAATCTTCTTTCTGTTTCAGATTATAGATGAGTGTTGTACAGCTCTATCAAATCAAGTTACAAGTATTACTGATATACCAACAACGCGACTGGTGGAGAAAGTCACGTGATATATATGCATACTCCGATTAGTCAAATGCTCCTTCATATGTAGTTTGAATAGAATTGGAAACAGTGACACGATATCGAGTAAAGATATTTTATCTTTAAGTGTGCTTCAAGAATGTTATACTCATTGATAATAAATTTGTTATATTTTCATCCGTATATAACACCGAAAGAATTAATGCATTTAAAGTGTGTCACATATAGTTTGTTTAATTGATTCTAAGAAAGAACGGCTTTTCAATCTATCGAAATACTATATCGGATTCTTTTCAATAAATACATATTTATATATTTGTTGTTGATAGTATTATAACAGTTTTGACAGATGTAGCCGACATTATTCTAATAATATTCACATCTTATAACCAGTTTTACAACAAAACTGCTTTTTTGTACACGAGACGACTTAAAACTAATTTTAGTTCAAGATTTTAGTAAATTTGATAGTATTCCAAAGTTACATGTTGCTTACTGAACATTCCATTGATATTTTGTTTTATATGTTGACGAGAATTCAAATGAGATTTTAAAAAAATATTTTGTGTGCATAATTTTATATTGTGGTTGAATGCGCAAGTTGTATGTAACCCAAGCAGTGTTGTAATTTACGTGTATGTTTGTAAGATATTTACCAATAAATGATTATTTACAAAAAAAAGTTTTATTTGTTTTACATTTGCGTCCCGTTATTAGCAGACCAATTTTTGAATTCATATGAAGCAGAATTTTTCCAAAATCTTATACGTGAAAAGAAGAAAACACTTGCTGTGGCCCTCAACTAGACATTAAGATATATCAACGACATATTTTAAATTAACAATGGTTATTTCCAGTTTAAAGTCAATACGATATATTCCGGTGATCTTGAATTAAAAGATACCATAGAGCCTGACACATCTGTTTCATATTTGGGTAATTTACCTGAAAAAGAAGACGTAAATGTTAATCTAACAACCAAGCTTTATGATTTTCAATCGTCAACTTCCATTATTTGTGCAGCAATTAATATACCTTCATCAACTGCATACGGGGTTTATATCTCTCAGTTGATTCGATACGCAAAAGCATGCTATACATGTATACAATTTCTTTAACAGGGTAAATTATTGACAAACAATTTGAAAAAATAAAAATATCAGTCTCGTTTAAAGTCATCATTTTGTAAATTCTATGGTCGATACCTTGTCAGCGAATTCAATTTATCACTGAGTCAAATGCTGACTGACGTTTTTTCATACCGAGTGTTATTCCATTATTTACACAATGAATTGTCCAGGGACATTTTTCCAATCATGACAATAAGCACACTGCGGGTGTGACCTGTCAGCAGAGGATGCACACCCCTGATTCTGATCCCACCTCTTATGTTTTGGAGGTCCGTGTTTGCTCTGTTCCAATTTTGTATACTGTAAACCAACTTTTATTCTGCGATTTACCAATAAACTAGTTTGCGACGATTAATTTTAGCGATCAAGCCTTTTTGCATCTGTTTTTAATAGACAAATTTACTATAAGAACCGTTTCGCGGCGAGAAATATTCGCGACGACGAGGCTCTCGTGAAATTCGCGAAAATTTCTCGCACGCGAATAAAAGTTGGTTTACAGTAATTTCATGGGCTCTTGAACTTAAATACTGTTTTTATCTCCATATATTTCATCAGAAACATTGATTGCACTAGAAGTACCTCGAGTTGATAGTTAATGTTTCTGATGAAATATATGGAAATATTGAAGAAAAATATTATAGCAAACACAGTCAGCTATTACATAAATCACTTTTAAGTTTTTTAATTTTAAGCTCTCCTGGTCAGAGACTAGAAGAGCTTATTCGATAGTAACGTGTCCGTCTGTCTGTACACAATTTTTCAAAATGCTACTCCTCTTACAGTTTTGGTCTGATTTCAATATAACTTGGCACACAAGTAGACTACACTAAGATACATAATTTAGAGCATCGGCTTTTGATTTCAATGAAGGGTATTGCCATGGTTACTATAAATAGAAATTTCTGTGAAATCCCTTTTAAACGCTACTCTTCCTACAGTTTTTATCTGATTTCAATATAATTTTGCAAATAAGTAGACTACATAAAGATACATAATATCGATGAAGGGTGTTGCCATGGTTACTAAAAGTAGAAATTTCTTTGAAATTTCTTTAAAAAGCTACTCCTTTTCACTTTTGATTTAATTTCAATACAACTTTGCACACAAGTAGACTACACTAAGATACATAATTTTTTATATCGATGAAGGGTGTTGCCATGGTTACTAAAAATGAAAATTTCTGTGAAATTCCTTTAAAAAGCTACTCCTTTACAGTTTTGATTTAATTTCAATATAACTTGGCACACAAGTAGACTACACTAAGATACATAATTTAGTGCATCCATTTTGATTTCGATGAAGGGTGTTGCCATGGTTACTAAAAATGAAAATTTCTTTGAAATTCCTTTAAAACACTACTCCTCCTACAGTTTTGGTCTGATTTCATAATAATTTGGCACACAAGTAGACTGCACTAAGATACATAATTTAGTGCATTCATTTTTGATTTCGATGAACGAAATTACCATGGTAACTAAAAATAGAAATTTCTGTGAAAAATCCTTCAAAAAGCTACTCCCCCTACAGTTTTTATCTGATTTCAATACAATTTTGCACACAAGTAGACTAAATAAAGATACATAATATAGTGCATCGGTTTTCGATGAAGGGTGTTGCCATGGTTACTAAAAGTAGAAGTTTCTGTGAAATTCTTTAAAAAAGCTGCTCCTCCTACAATTTTGGTATGATGGCACAGAAGAAGACTCCACGTAGATGCATAATTTTTGCTGCCTGTTGCAAAGTTTCAAATCCAAGTGCTACTTTTCCTTTGTTATAGACCGGTAGAGCTACAATCTCGTCAGAGACTTCTGTTTAGTTTATTCACGATGACATGAACTATGATGCTACACACAAGTGTCATGTAGTAAACCCCTCATAGTAAAGTTTCCCAGCCTGTTAAACTTTTCACTATTTATGTATTTTGAAATGGTTTTATTGTACAATTTAGAACCTGCTTCAAATTCTTATTTTATTTTTAAGAAAATGAAAATATTGGTGACCATTATTTTTTTCTGCTTCATTTTAAGAAAATTTTATTTTATTATAAGCTAATTAAGCTAATCATTTTAACTACATCTCATTAACGATGAACATAAAATGATGTGGATTTATCCGTGTAAATAATGAACACAATTTGTTCAAGCACTGATAGCAATTAATTAATGGAGATATAACTGTACTACTTACAGGTTTATAGCGAAATACAACAAAATGTCCCATTATGTCTGTAGTGACGCAAAGATGGTTACACGTTTTGATTATAAATTTTTGGTATGTTTATGAATTACTATTAAATCAGGGATGAGTTCGATCAATTCCCAGCTGTGGTTACACGTTTTGACAAAGATCCTCTTGTTTTGTCAAACACATATATTAAGTTTTTCTATAGAATTTAGTTTGAACATGATTTTTGGGCAATCGAAAGGTCCATAAATCTCTTTTTCTACGTCAAACATGAAGTATTTAAAAAGAAGCACCAAAAATTTCTCAATTATGCATATGCGTAACAAATTCATGCTAGATATTTAGGATTTTTTAACAGGGCATTTACAAAATACATGTGGTTGACATGACTCAGAAAATGTTGTTTTTGAATTCCTGTTGGACATATACAGCTCCGTATTTAATGAGTTTAAATACGTTGTCTCCTGATAATGATCATGCTGTTCCGACATAACAACATAATTCTCACGACCTTTCAAAAACTATCAAAACTATTAAATTGATATAAAACAGGATTCCAGTATATATAAATAATAACCAGGACTTACTCCTGGTTTACAAGAATGAATCAATTCAAGGCTTTTTGTGTGTTTATCCTGGTGTTTGTAAGTATTCATCTATCGAATTTTAACTTGAATCTTTTAAAGGGGCTTGGGGTTGTGGCCATTTTCAGACTATTATAACCTCCTTTAGAAGAAGAGCTCCATATAAAAATATACAAAGATGATCAAATTTTAAAATCAAATTGTATGAAATTTCTTTTTGCGAATTGAAAGTTGACAGCTTAAGATATCAAATCTAAAAAAAAATCAGTTAAATCCGGTGGTTAATTGTTGACCCCCAGACTCCTTGAAGCCTTTATTATTTCAAGATTTTCTGTTTTGGTATACATGTATTATACCTTTTCTAGATGATTATGGCTTTTTGATTGTTAATTGAAATCATAAATAGAAACATTACATAAAAATTTTATTTGGAGGGGGATATGAGGGTGTATAATTTTGAATTTATTTATTTATGTTATCTTTCTCTTTTCGTTTCATTTCGTTTGTTTGAAGTTTGTTAATGGTTGACTTACGAATAACGGCTTACTCTACATAACTGAAATATAGCAATTTGTCATCTCCAGTCAGTACTTGTGCTTGCTAAAAGGAGAGGATCTCATATTAGAAGGAGAGATGTTAGTCCCCCAGGCCCTGTAGAAATTCCAATAATGCCCGGGCCCCCTTGTCCCCCAGGTAAGTACAATCCGTGTTGATCCACACAAATATTTGTAAAAGAAATAAGCGGCCAAGTCGACATATTTCAAATAGAATCATGTTTTAAACAAAAATTTCGCCCAAAAATGTGTCGACTTTAATTTTACCGCTTTAGGTAATTCATGTTTTTGTAAATTTTAAAGTAAAAGGAAAACTTATCTAAACCTGTTGATACATATATTTAAATCAATACAGATTCTACTTCTTTAGGTTCTTCTAAACTCATCAGAAATTCATTTTATTCGCAATAACTTATTGTAAAAAGAAAAAAAAACGTATGGCATTTAATTAACAGGGCATGTAGAAACCCCAGGGTTTGGTCACACAAACAGAATCTGTTTCAGTCCAGCGCAACCAAGTGGTAGAGGTACGTAAATTTAGAATTGGCTTCATAAAATTGATTTGATTTTTTCTCAATAAAAATAACACGCATAAAAGAGGTGAAGACAGCGAGCAATAATAAATCTAATAAATCTGGTTAAATTTTGTTAATTCCGAATGGTGAACAAATTTTCACGTATGTTTAGATGATGTACCACAACCACCCTCCTTTCTGCCAGAAAATTTTTACGTCCCACAACCTCCAGGTGACAGAGGATTTCCTCCAGGGGAATTTGAACCACCACACGCCCCCGGAGAAAAACCCTATCCGCACATTCACAATCGTAAGTAAATGAATTTTTTTGCTTTATTTCGTTTTCTATGATTATGTTAAAGCATTTATAAAGAATTTTTATATCTTCATGCCTCTTGTAATTTTACTCTTGGGATGAATTGTATTTTGTTGAAAATTATGTTTCGGAGTTATAATTCATATTCAGGTAAATAGTTATGAACTTAGAATTGTTTCTAACCTATCTTTGACTATGATAAAATCATTATAAATGATATATAAAAATAAATAATTTATTATTCTAGCTCCTACAGAACCACGAGATAAATACCATCCTCGTAAGTCTCTCTCTCTCTCTTTTAAAAATACCTGATATGTTGCTGCGCACTCACCTTTTTTATCGACAATGTTTATTTAATTTGAAACATTTATTTTTATTTTTTTTCAATTAATGATCGAAGCCTTAAAACACAATTTGATCTGTAACATAATTGGCTAAATTTTGCTATATGAAATTTATCTTATTCGATTCAAATTTTGCTGAATAAGCAACTTCCATGTAAATTTCATAATGCAAATGGATGTTACATAGGAGTGTGGTTGCCAACAAATATTTTTGTAATTTTGCTTTGAAATATTAGATAATTGTATGTAATGCAATACATAATAAATGATTCTAAGGTATATGTAATTGTAATTTTTTTTTATTTTACAGCTTTTGATCCTACGGGACCTCCGATTATTTGGAGATATTGAAATTTAAGGCGTGTTCCTAGTATTGGAAAGAAAATTAAGAAACTTTTTATCTAATGACTTTGATATTGAATAAAGTCCAGTTGGTGAGTGACAAATAGGAAGAGGACAGAAGAAGTAGCTGTAATTTGTAAAAAGTTAACCATGCTGAATTAATAAAAAATAAAACATTTCAATATGTGTAGGAAGGTTGCCTGTTTATCCTGAACAATAATATTTCCTGAGGAATTTACAAATTCTGATTGTGATATTTTGTATTATTGGATTTGTTACCAAGGTATCTTAAGCTGAATGATAAATCTTTTCATAAATTTTTACTTTTTTACAAAATACCACAGAGTCTGACACATCTGTTTCATATTTAGATATAGAACAAGAAAATGGTAATCTAACAACAAAACTTGACGATTTACGTGATAACTTTAAACTTTCTGTTGTCAACTTTCCTCATTTATGCAGCAACACATACTAATAATATAACTTGCATGAAATTTATGTCTCCCAGTTGATACGATACGCCGGAGTATACTCTACATACAAACAATTTTTTTTAAAACAAGGCACACTATTGGGACATTTTAATAGTAAAAGACGCCATTGGTAAACTAATGTTCAGCAAAACTGTTTAATAAACTGGTTTACTTCAACTTTTCTATTGTGACAGTCAGCTTTCCTTATTTATTTAAGAAATGAATTTAATTTTTGAAGATTCATGAGGTTATGAACAACGACGCTTCACGCCGGCATATTTCATGAAGCGTGTTAGCGCTTCATGATAAATATGCCGGCGTGAAGCGTTGTAGTTTATATACCTCATGAATCTTCAAAATTGAATTCATTTCTTATATTTAAATTATTTTTCTAATGACTTACTATAAATTTACGCCATTCAACTGTCATTTTTAAAGCAAAACCGTGTGCATTATATTTATTGACGTCAAGTGACGTAACAATGGAGATATTCATGCTTATTCGTGGTACATATGTAATGTAGTTCATGAGAAATTGAACTGCATTTTATTTTGTAAAAGAATCATATGGAAATTTATTGGAAATGTAAATATATAACAATATACACCTATTACCTGCATTGTAGTTTACATGACAGGCGTTTGACAATCAAGTTGATGTAACGAGAATATCAACTATTATATTTGCAGTCAACATTAATATTTTGCAAATTCTTTTTCGATACGATGTCAGGAAATACAATCTCTCTAAATTGAATGCTTACTGACTTTTTCATATAATTTGTTAGGCCATTATTCAAACACTGATCTGTCTCTAGATCTCCTATATTCCTGATGCCGTTTGTGACAAGTAAACATGGGATCCTCAAAGGCTTCTGGTGACTTTAGTGTACTTGTATCAGCTCTGCTCCCGATTTAAATTGTTTCAGTCGACTTTTAAGCTTGGGTACCGTTATCTCCAGATTTCATGAATCAAAGACAGGAAATTGCACCAGAAAACAGAATTCTTTCAAGCAATTTTTTGCTTGATTTTATTCAGACATATACATGTATTTAATTTATTTATGCATTTGTTAGGGAAATACAGTATTTAAAAAAATTAATGATATGCTATAGGTCCAGTCCTTGAGCTTGTATTTTTTTATATTCAAGGAAATTAACTGGGATGATGAGACAGAGCAATGAGGGAGTGGGATAAATATTCTCAAGAAGAAGCAATGTAATAAGTGGTGTCTTCTGGTAAAACACTCATCATTTATATAAGTGTCCCCTTATTTAAAAAATTTAAAATTAACAAGCATCACTGTGCTTTCAACCTGTATTCGAAGAGAGGAACTAATATGAAACAAGGAATGTATTTTCTATGACCTTCCAATTTTAAAATTTTGATAGACTTGTGTCCTCACCATTGGAGGAGTGCACATTTCTGAGAATAAACAAAAAACAAAAGATAATTTCTGAATGTGTTTATAGTAATGGCTGCCTACTACTGAAACATAGGTATCCTCTGTGACACTCATCTTCTTTCCTAATAAAATAAAATATAAAAAAGAATAAAGATAATTAAATCATTTATAGTTTTGTTTGTATATCTTTGATCTAATATTGAGTTTTTAAGTGAAATTTGAAGGAGTATAAGAAAGAAAATTGGCTTTTAATCAATGAATACGTTCCTAATGAAATAATAAAAATTCCCTAGTGTTTTTATTAAAACATGCTGCAAGATATTATAGATAGTCAGCTATGATTGACGTTATTTACCCTTATTTTTTATGCTGCATTCACGACAGGGACCCAATCCTTTGTTCACAAACTCTGGTCGAGAGCTCGCTGGAAATGCTTCTCAGGGCCTGTAGATTGTTGACATAGTAAACATAGTCTGGGCTGGTAGCGTACGTCTCCAGTTCCCTTCGATTAGCCCCCATCACACCTTCAAGTCGACATCAAAATTTCATTTCGGAATCAGTATTAAAAGCATTCTTCCAGTTGTCTCTTAAATTTTCTAATTTATCATAAATAGGTATGTTTTATATACTTTAAGGTGTATTTTTTGGCAAAAATATCTGCATGAATTATGACATTTTAAGTTATTTATTAAAATAGTGATACAAATACTAAACCATGTATTAACTTGAAAAAGTCATCAAACACTTCAAGATTGAAGATACTCTAGTAAAATGCATATATACATGGTTGTCTCCAATTAAAACTTGATGATAATTCATATTTTTCCTTCCTCCCCTTTGTCGTAAAATTTTTGCCCAAAGAGGATAAAATTCGACTTATAAACAGGCAATTTAAAACAAAAACAAGTTAAAAGATAATACTAAGTATTTACCTATTGCGAAAATAAGAACACCACTATTCCTTAATTTTGCGGCTTCTTCCCTTGCTTCGTATGGATTAGTCGCTTCTCCATCGGTCACCATCACTGCGATTTGGGGAACAAGGAGGGGCCGACCTCCTTTTTCGGGAAGGAATCCCTCTTGCATCTTTTGGAAAGCCAGGTGCATATTAGTGTTCCCTCGTTCCCAGTTTCTACCATGGATTCTATTAAGGACAAGAGATTTATCAACTCCATCTCGTAGTTCCAGAAAACGTGAAGCGTCAGTGCTGAAGGCGATAGCTCCAACTCTTGTTTCATCTTTAGCTATGTCGAATTTCTCCACTAGGTCATTTACAAAATCTAGTTCAATGCTGAAGTTCTTCTGAGAACCGATGCTCGTTGATTGGTCGATGGCAAATATGACATCAGCAACATGTTTGAGGCATTCTTACGAAAAGAAATCAATCAGATTTACACAAATATAGATTTCATTTTGAAAATGCTCACTTTTATCTGATTAATTACCGTATCAATTTTGATTTGTTTTTAAGCTTTTAATTTGAGCGTTGTCTTGTGTTTCATCAATTCCTATATTACTCTCAAAATAAAAAGGGATTAATGCTTAGAAGACGTATCACACCTACATGTATATCAAAAATGAACTTACATGTACTTAAATATACTCATATAATAAATTCGATTTCGCATTCAACACTTATACAGTAGTTTTGGGAATGAACAGAGACAGAATTTGAAGAAGTAAGTAATAAATTAAGTATCAGCTGAAGAGTTTCATGTACACTTTGTGCATTCTCATATATGTACGTTAGATTTTATCTTTTGATGAAAACAATTTATTTGAAATATGTTTGGTAATCTAAAAACTATAACATGTTAAGTTTCTGTAAATCCTATATGAGTGTATTTTGTATATAAGCATAAAAAATGCAGGCTTTAAATTAAAAGGAGCATAAAAGAAGCACTCACAAATAAAACAGTATTATGATTCACAAAACGCTTTTAAAAGGAATAATAATTTTGTCAATGTTAATAAAAATAAATAAAATAAGGATAATATAATTCTAGCAATCCAAATCAATGATAACAATTTTTATTAAGCGTCTAGGCCTACAGTCATCATTTAAAAAGAATGGTAATCTATAAAAAGAAAATGAAAGTTCTCTAATACAAACATTGTTAGAGGGCAATTTTACCAATAATTTAAAAATTCAAGAATTTATTTGTCATGAAAAATAGAACATTTTTCTTACGTTCCTCTGGTTCATTTGGTTTCACGGTTGTTGGCTCTCCAACTAAAATGAGACATTTTTGTATAATTAGGAACATTTTCCAAGATCTTTCTCTTAGAATATTAACCAAGATAATCTAAATAATAAGTATCAATAATTCTATTAATGTTATATATCATTTGTTAACATCATCAAATAAACAGTAACTTAAAGTAGTAATCTTTCCTTTTTTCAAAATTGGAGGGGTAGCAGAGAAATAGCCAGACAATTACAGACAAGCCAAAAAAAGTTTCTGAATTTTTGTTTTATTGGTAGTAAAGGAAAGAAAAACAAAACTATTATGGACCCGCCCCATTCAATGAAAATTTCCATATCAAGTAAAAGCAATTAAACCATTCTCGGAAAAATAAAATTGGTGGCCCGCCCCTTCAATACAGAATGACAGTTAAGCATGTCGATAATATGAAATGCTTGAACATCTCACAAAAATTGCATAGCAAGTGTTTTCTTTAAAGGATTTTTCATTCATTTAACAAAATATCCAAGTCACAGATTGGATAATGGTTTATTTGATCGAAATTTATTTTTAAAAAGAGATTTATGACAAATATGTCAAACCGTCACAGGTTTTCTTTGCTAACATTTCCTTCAGCTTATCTGTTTTAAATTCTCCGTATGTCGGAACCTTAATGACAGAATCAGGTTCACTGGCCATTCCAAATAGTTCCTAAAACACCAAATATATTGTTTTCAATTATAAGCTAAGCTCAAAAATATTCTACAATGTCAAAACACTTACACAACACAACATTTAAAATTGACATTTATCTGGAGTTTAAAAACATATCAAGGATCATTCAATTAAAATAAAATTACCTCATCAACAACTTTCCCCCCGACACCAATAGCAAAAACGTAAATGCCATTGTCTCTTGCTCGCTTAGCCTCTTTGAGTGTCAACTGTTTCGCTTCTTCTTGTGTGAACGGATCAACAGATCCCGGATTAGTCTCGCCATCCGTCATCACTATAGCAATCTTCATAACATCACTCCTAGCACCGTTCTTAGAAGAAAAGATTTCATTGTTCATGTATTCTAAAGCCTTGTAAGTTCTAGTTGCACCACCCTTTGTGTGTTCAATTTTCTGAGTTGCACCCAGAACGCCGTCTTTGTTGTTATGGGTATTGAATTGAAATTCTGGTTTGATGACGTCACTGTAAGACACGGCTGCAATCTGGGTTTTGGTTGGAGAAATGTCGAAAAGGCTAAGTACATCGTACAGAAAGTGGACCTGTGTATCAAAGTTTGGAGGCCAAATACTATTGGAGGAATCAATGACAAAAGCTATGTCTGCTTCCTTGCTACAAAAATCTGTAAATAGAAAACTTAAATAACTGTCAAAATCAAGATAAAATGTGAGAATTATGAATAATTTTAGAGAAAACTTAACTTACGATCACATAATGCCCCAACCACGAATCCCTGAAAAAGATAAATGGAAGTAAATGAATAGCAATTAAGACTAAAATGAACATTGGTGAACATTGCTTGAAAGGCAAAACTTTATACCAATGCCAACAAAGTTTTCGTCCACATAGTGAATAGCCAACAGCTGAACACTGGAAGGTTTGTAGTGGGTTCAGCTTTAGGAAAACAGCGCTTTTATGGTGTTTGCGAGTCAATTTCCTTTTGTGTTATTTTGAAATGAGATCATAATTAATAAATGTTTAACACTAATTTTATTTTCATTATATACACCAATTTTTTGCTACCAATTTTATTTTTTAGCCTAAAAGAATTTGTAAAGATTGACTTTGCCTTTGATTGTGATAAATACTAGTTAAGATTACATTTAATCATTTTCAAATTTACTCCCTCTTATAGTTGCTAAAATAGTGCTGTGATAAATAAAAGTCGTACATTACATGAGTCATACTAATCACCAATAATCACCAATGGTGCCATTTTCTTTCCTTTATATCGATGAAATACTAATTATAAAAACATTTAACATATATACATGTTCTGAGTAGGATAATCACATCAATATTAGAAGTTGGAAAACCGCTTTTCATACATGCATCCAAAAGTGCATGGTGATTGAACATTGCATAGCTGTTGCACATTCAATAAAATTTCATGCAATCTGTCCAGAAATGCATCTCAAATAATTTAACAGCACATCTTTCCGTGAAGATTATGAAATGATAGTCATTTGAGGTAATGATATTTTTCAATTTTTTTTTTACTGTAGACGTACTTTTTTCCACGGGGTCATAATTCCGCGCAATCCCAATTTATGCTTAATCCGCGGGTAGAAAATATTACGTGGATTTCTTAGGCTGTCACTAAATGCCTTACATTTATATTAAGTTCGCTTGGACAAATTTCCACAGAAAATTTGTGACCGCGTATATTGCGTAAATTAATACCACGCGGAAAAAAGTACTTTTACAGTATTTGCACAGAATGTCTTCTATAAAATACATATTTTCAAATAAAAAATAGTGCGATTTTTTTCCATATGACGTTCACTTTTCGTTAATAACATAAATATTTAACTGCATTTTTAATTTACTATCAATTTCCATATAACTTTATTGTGAAATGAAATTATACATATTATAAAAGAGTCGAGGGCCTTTGTATTGATGGAGAGAAATCAATACACATACAAGTATTTTTAAATGAAGGCTTAACAATTCGAACAGTTTATTATTATTGACTGATATTGGTTATGTATTATAAAAGGACGATTAAATGGCTAATATCAATTCCTACATCTATTTATTTCATTCTTAACGTTGATTGTTGTTTTCATGCGAATTAGAATAAGAACCATATATATAAAGCACTAAAAAACCAACAACACTCTATATCGTAAATGTCGGATCTACCAAGTAGATACAAGGTCACGGATGGAAATTTATATAAAGCACTAAAAATGACCAACGACACGAACAAAAAAAATTGTCAAATTTTCGGGACGCCCTGTCCCTTCCTCAGGACAAAGAAAAAAGTTAAAAAGTCATAAGAACAAAGGAAAATGAGAAACAAAAACAACTAGCACTACTACTAAACACTAGATATTTACATACTAAGTTACATGTTGAATTGGAAAATATTAAGAACACTAATAAAGAAAGAAATCCGGACCGCTATGAAATGCGTCCGGTCTATCGGGTACACTCGGGTGAAGTGCGATTTACATAATTGAACGAATTAATTATGCTTATTAATTACGACAATCAGTAAATCGTTCATTGTTTTATTCTCTCAAAATGGCGTAACTATATAGCCTACGAAGAAAAAAAAAATAAATATATCATGACTTTATTAAGTAAAAATACATCTATGAAATGTATGAAAATAAGGACTTAAAGAATAGATAAGAAATCGATTTTTGTTCAATTTAGTAAAGTTTAAAAATTACTGCATAAACCGTATATTTACAAGTATTTTGACAGTCTTATATTAAAGAGCAGTACCTATCAATGTGACTGTATTGTACACGGTAAGAATCTCATTTACTTTGAGCTTCTTACTAGTACTCCTAATAATGTATTGTACTTCTGTACGAGAATACGCGCGATCATGTTGTCATATACTCAGGGATTCTACTGCTATATCATATTGCAGCAATATGTTTCTTTCAGATCAAAGAATACGAAACTTAAAACATGCTGACATTTTAAGGCCGGTATACGCGATGAGATTTGTAATATAATGCAAGTTTTATAAAACTTTTGTATTATAGTGCTTTCCTGTACTCACACTAATACATATCTTATAAGATTGTAAATAAACTACGTATTCCAACGTGTTATTTCCCGTCATATTTCTCTCTCTGTCAAAGTAATAACAATGGAGGATGAGGCTCTGATGGCAGTGTCTATCATGGTACTATGCACTGCTTGATATATTCCACAAGTCCTTTTGTTAATTGACAGTACGTCGTCGATATATCTAAATGTCGAGTTGAAGGTCACAGCAAGTGTTTTCTTCTTGTCGCATAGATTTTGCACAAATCCTGCTTCATATGAATGCAAAAAATAGGTCTGCTAATAACGGAACGCAATACCGGTAGGTACCCATGGTGATTTCAATAGATTGTTGGAAGACCTGGTCTCCAAATACTACATATATATTGTCAATCAGAAACTCAAGCATCTTTTTAATGTCAAGTTCAGAGTACTTGTGTGTGCAATCAGAATGTGCTTTAACAAAATAATTTTGCAAATGAATCAATGACCAGTTAAATATATATCGTTTCACAGTATTCTTGAATTTCACTACTGTTAATATCTTTGTGAAGAGTAAAGAAAGAGTCTTTGAACATTTACTGGATTCCACAATGTATCTTTGTTTGTAAGGATTCTTATGCAGTTTCCGAATCAAATAAATATATATATACAGATCAAAATCATTTTGGTTCTTTGGGATATTAAAAATATTCAAAACTGAAATACGATTTTGAAGAATTTCTTCCTTTGAAAAGGAACTATGAGTATAAGTTGGATTACCACTTGTAAAATTAAATTCAAGTTCTTCTAAAATACAATTTATATAATGAGCCTTACAAACAAAGACACCTGCTTTGTCAGCAGGGACCAGTACGTACTGATCATGTAATCTATCTAGAATCAATAAAATAACTAGTGTCTTCTGGTAAAAAAAAAAATCTTCATTCCTATAAGTCTCCCATTATCTAAAGATTTCAAATTAACAAGCATCACTGTGCTTTTAACCTGTGTTCGAAGAGAGAAGCTACTATAAAAGAAGCTAATATAAAACAAGGAAAGTATTCTCCATCACAGTTGGAGGGGTGTAAATGTCTGAGAACAAACAAAAACAAAGGATGATTTCTGAAAGTGTTTATTGTAATGGCTGCCTAATACTGAAACACAGATATCCTCTGTGACTCTCATCTTCTTTCCTAATAAAAGAAAATGTAAAAAAGAATAAAAGATTTGTAGTTTTCCTTGCATATCTTTAAACTTTTATTAAATTTTTAAGGGAAATTTAGAGGAGTATAAGAAAGAAAATGGGCTTTTAATCAATAAATTAGCTTCTAATGAAATAATCAAAATTCCTGTGTGTTTTTATTAAAGAAATGGTGCAAAATATTATAGAGAGTCAGCTATGATTGGTGTTATTTACCTAATATTTTATGCTGCATTCACGACTAGGAACAATCCTTTGTTCACAAACTCTTGTTGAGAGCTTGCTGGAAATGCTTCTCAGGGCCTGGAGATTGTTAACATAATAAACATAGTCTGGGCTGGTAGCGTAAGTCTCCAGTTCCGTTCGATTAGCCCCCGTCACACCTTCAAGTCGACAAAAGGCTTTATTTTGGAATCATTTTTAAAATAATTCTTCCAGTTGTCTCTTAATTTTTCTAATGTATCATAAATTGGTATCTTTGATACACTTCAAGGTTTATTTTTTGGCAGAGATATCTGCATGAATTATGACATTTTAATTTGTTTTTAATAATAGTGATACAAATACTAAACCATGTATTAACTTGAAAAATTCCAGATTCTCCTATCAAACTTGATGATAATTCATAATTCATATTTTTACTTCTTCCCGTTTGCCTTTAACACAGAATTTTTGCCCAAAGAGGATAAAATCCTAGGTATAAACGGGCAATTTAAAGCATAAAAACAAATTGAAGATTATTTTTACCTATTGCGAAAATAAGAACACCATCATTCCTTAATTTTGCAGCTTCCTTCCTTGCAGCCCCTGGATCAGTCGCTTCTCCATCAGTCACCATCACTGCGATTTGGGGAACAAGGCCGGGCCTACCTCCTTTTTCGGGAAGGAACCCCTCTTGCATCTTTTGGAAAGCCAGGTGCATATTAGTGTTTCCTCGTTCCCAGTTTCTACCATGGATTCTATCAAGGACAAGAGATTTATCTACTCCATCTCTTAGTTCCAGAAAACGTGAAGCGCCATTGCTGAAAACAATAGCACCCACTCTTGTTTCATCTTTGGCTACGTCGAATTTCTCCACCATGTCATTCACGAAATCTAGTTCAATGTTGAAGTTCTTCTCGTTATCGATGCTTGTTGATTGGTCAATGGCAAATATGACATCCGCAACATGTTTTAAACATTCTGACAGAAAGAAATCAGTGACAATTCTTTTACAGACTTTTTATATTTTTAATATTTGAAAATGCTCACTTCTATCTGCAAAATAATATCAATATTGATTTGTTTTTAAGCTTATAATTTGAGCGAAAAAAATTCAGTAAGTCCTTTACTACTCTCATAATAAAAAAAGAAGTTTAATGCATGGAAAACGTATTGAATGATTGTTGATTGTATGTTATTTTACGTCCAATTTGTGAATTTTCACTCATTACGCAAAACGTAACAACGCAAAACGTAATAAACCTGGATTATTACTTTTTGCATCATTACATTTTGCGTCGAAATCAACGCAAAATGTAATAACGCAAAATGTAATAATCCTCAAAAGCATGTTGTTACGTACATTTTGCATCGTTACATTCTGCGTTGATTTCGACGCAAAATGTAATGATGCAAAAAGTAATAATCCAGGTTTATTACATTTCGCGTTCTTATTATATTTCGCGTTGTAACACAGACTGAGCTACTGCAAAGGGTATGAGAAATTAATATACGCGAATTTTAATATACCTTAAAATTTAATTTAAAACATTGAAAATATTTAATTTGATTTTTTAACACATATATTTTTTGGAAAGAACAGAGGCAGAATTTGAAGAAGTAATAATATAAGACCAAGAGACTCATATTCAATATTTGTATTTTTATACATTGTATATGTATGTAAAGGTTTATCTTTTGATGAAAACAATTTATTTGAAACATTTGGTAATTTAAAACTCTAACATGTTAAGTTTCTTGACATCCTCTATGAATATTTTTTGCCTGTATGCATAAAAAAGATGCAGGCTTTAAGAAGTATAATGAGCACACAAAGAAAAGTATTATAATTCAATACGCGTTTTTAAAAAGAAATAATTTGCTTATTTAAAATAAAGATTAGGATAATATAATTTTAGCAATCCAAAATTTGATGAAGAAGAATATATGCCTATAGTCATCATTTAAGAAGAATTGTAATTTATATAAAAAAAAAGAAAATAAATAAAAACTCTTGTATACAAACATTAATATTGTAACAAGGCAATCTTACTGATAATCAAAATAGTCAAGTAAGAATTTATATGTAATGAAAAAAAATCGTCTTACCCTCTTCTTGTTTATTTGGTTTCACGGTTGTTACGCCAACTAAAACAAGACATTTTTGTTAATTAGGAATATTGTCGAAGATGTAACTAGTAATCTACATACGAGTAGTAATTAAGCATTAATATTTCAAAGTATAATGGATATCATTTGTGAGCGTAATCAAATTAAACAGTAACGTAGCAACTTTTCTCTTCTTTTTCAAAATGGAAGGATAGGGGTAATCAGAAAATTACTGACAGCCAAAAAAAGTTCCTAAAGGTTTTCAGTATTATTCAAGAAAATAAAAACAAAAAATTCTGAGAACGCATCATTTGCGATCCATACCAAAATAAAATTGGGGGCGGCCCTTCAATACTGAATTTATGTTAAACATGTCGATCATATGAAATGCTTGAGCATCACAAAAGACTGTTTAACATGCTTCATTTATATATACAGTACAGTGAAACCTGTCTAATCCGACATGCACTGGGAGACAAATTTTGTGACGGAAAAGACAGTGTGTTGGATTACACAGTGTAAAATACAAGGAAAATACTAAAATGGGAAAGAAATTTAACGTCGGAATTCACAGTATTACGGAATAATCATGTCACGGAATAGACAGTTTTCACTGTATATATATTCGACTCACAGTTTGGATAATGTTTTATTTCATCGAAATTTATCTTTGAAATGAGATTAATGACAAATATGTCAATACCGTCACAGGTTTTCTTTGCCAACATTTCTTTCAGCTTATCTGTTTTAAATTCTCCGTATGTCGGAACCTTAATGACAGAATCAGGTTCACTGGCCATTCCATATAGTTCCTAAAACAAATATTTTTGTTTTCAATAATTAGCTTAGCCTAAAAACATTCTATGATGTCAATATTTCTGCTTAAAAGCACTTACTAGTTCGCAAAATTTAGAATTGTATCTGGAGTTTAAAAACATATCAAATATCATTCATATCAAATAAAATTACCTCATCAAGAACTTCCCACCCAACACCAATAGCAAAAACGTAAACGCCATTGTTTCTTGCTCGCTTAGCCTCTTTGAGTGTCAACTGTTTCGCTTCTTCTAGTGTTAATCGATCATACGACCCCGGATTAGTCTCGCCATCCGTCATCACTATAGCAATCTTCATAACGCCACTCCTAGCACCGTTCTTAGAAGAAAATATTTCATTATTCATGTATTCTAAAGCTTTGTAAGTTCTAGTTGCATCACCCTTTGTTTGATAAATTTTCTTAGTTGCCCATAGGGCGCCGTCTTTGTCTTTATGGGTATTGAATTGAAATTCTGGTTTGATGACGTCACTGTAGGACACGGCTGCAATCTGGGTTTTAGTTGGAGAAATGTCGAAAAGGTTAAGTACATCGTACAGAAAATTGACCTGTGTTTTAAAGTTTGGAGGCCAAATACTGCTGGACGAATCAATGATAAAGGCTATGTCTGCTTCCTTGCTACAAAAATCTGTAAATAGAAAACTTAAATACCTGTCAAAATCAAGGTCAAATGTAAAAAAAAAATTAGAAAACTTAACTTACGATCACATAATGCCCCAACCACGAAACTCTGAAAAAGATAAATGGGAGAAAATGAATGGCAATTAAGACTAAAATGAACATTGTTGACCGTTGCTTGAAAGACAAAACTTTATACCAATGCCAACAAAGTCTTCGTCCACATAGTGAAAAGCCAACAGCCGAACACTGAAAGGTTTGTAGTGGATTCACTTTAGAAAAACAGCGCTTTTATGGTGTTTGTCAGTCAATTTCCTTTTGTATTATTTTGAAATGAGATCATTACTAATAAATGTTTACACTTATTTTATTTTCATTATAACACCAATTTTTTTAATGCCATTTTCATTTTTAACCTGAAAAAATTTGTGAAGATTGACTTTGCCTTTGATTGCGATACATGTAAATACTAGTTAAGATTACATTTAATCACTTTCAAATATACTCCCTCTTATATTTGCTAAAACAGTGCAGTGATAAATGAAAACTCATACATTACATGAGTCATACTAATCACCAATAACACGGTGCCATTCTCTTTCTTTTATATCAATATAATACTAATTAGAAGAACATTTAACATATATACGTGTAGTGAGTTTGATAATCACATCAATATTAGAAGTTGGGAAAACCGCCTTTCATACATGCATCCCAAAGTGCATGGTGATTGAACACTGCATAGCTGTTGCCACATTCAATAAAATTTCATGCAATCTGTCCAAAAATGCATCTCATATAATTTAACAGCACATCTTTCCGTGAAGTTTATGAAATGTTAGTCATTTGAGGTAATGGTATCTTTAAGATTTTTTATTGTCACAGAATGTTTCCTATAAGATACACATTTACAAATAAAACAGTGCGATTTTTTTTTCTTGTCTCATTAAAAACGACAAAAACGGTGACGTTTTAGAACTTCACGGAGCAGCAGATAACGATGAAATTTTGTGTTTTACTCAGGAAAATTCCTGAATAAACTTTTAAAATGTTGGAGGAATACAAAAATATGTCATAGGCGAGCCGTGCATGTGTGGACAAATAGTACAGGCAGTATTTCTGTGATGGAGACTCTGTATCGGATGAGGACAATCTGTGAAGAAACGGTTAAAATATAGAAATCTGAACAAAAGCTAAAAAGTTGGAACGTCAAGGAAAGACATAAGAGCTTCAGTGTTGCTTATTCCGTGAAAGCAGAATTGTTAAAAAATAAATTAAAACCTAAACAAAGGAAATGATACATCGAGAACAAATGTTAAATAAATGTCAAGTATAAGAAAAAGGTTTTTAATGAGTGGGTATTGGATAACACTGTGTGAAATGTATAGGGATAGTATTTTTTTAAAATTTGTGACGCTATGTTTTGACGTTACATTGCCGTTAAGTACATGTATGCTCCGCGGGTACAACACATGTTGATTTTAAAATGAAATAATTTTATTTCTGTTAAGAAGAATGGAATGAAACTTCACACATCAACAAAACAAATATTTTACACATTATATTGTGCCTTAAATTTTAAATATTTAGTGAGTAATGTAAAGAAGATTGATATCGTCCACAAATTTTTCGAACAACCCTCGTAGAATATACCTGTAGAAATTAAATAAGCAATTTTAAAATGTCATTTTTAAAAATTGGAGCAGAGGAAACGTTGACCTTAAAAACCATCAGAGTTGGGATAAGTTGCCATGGAGGAGTAAGCATTCCATGTCGATGTACTCCATGTAATAATTTGGCAAATGAAAAAAACATCTGTAGACAAATTAGCATAAGATAAAGGCCTAACAATTTGTGTAAATAAGTCAAAGTCGACTTAAGGATAGAATTCGCAACATATTTTATTTCATTTTAACCAAAAGTAGAATATTAAATAAAATTGCCGATGCAGCCTCATTTTCGCTGTTTCCCTTGGATACTGCTGCACACTCGACTTGACAGTCTATTGACGATTGACGAGAGTGCTTCCAGGCTGTCCACACTAAACACGTGCTGGGAATCGGGGTCACTGGACAATTCGTTCAACTGCGACAATCTGGCACTCTTCACACCTTTAAAATATACACCAAAATTTTGATGTTGCAGGATGATGTTTAGATTATCATTTTTGTCATATGTTAATACATTCTGTATTATAAGAACATGAACTTAACAAAGAGATTAAAGATACATCTATGCTGATTATACCAATGGTGAAGATCTCCACTCCCTGGCTTTTTAGTTTATTGGCCTCCGCTAGAGCTCTATAAGGATCGGTCGCCACTCCATCTGTAACAAGCACAGCTATCTGAGGAACTTGTTTGGGGCGGCCGCCATATTCTTTCGAGAACCCTTCCCTCATCTTTACAAAAGCTTTGTCCATGAAAGTATTTCCCCGTCCCCATCTTATGTCATGGATTCGCTGGATAACGTCGACCTTGGACATTTCATCTTTAAGTTCGAGAACACGATCCGCCTCGTCACTGAACACGACTGCTCCAACTCTTGTCTCGTCTGGACCCACATCAAAGTTCTTCACCACTCTCACCACGAAATCCAATTCCAAACTGAAATTTTTCTCCGATTCGATGCTGGTCGATTGATCAATGGCAAATATAACATCAGCAACTAGTTTGGTGCATTCTGCAAAATGAGGATATTTACACTAAAATTCATGAGCCTCAGAAAAACTGAGATTTTAACACGTTAACTGATGTTTCTTTCGTTTATAGTGTGTTTGTACATGTATCATTATTTGACAAAATCTCTTACGTTCTTCCTGCGGCTCTGGTGGTTTTGTTGTAGTCATCTTTTCAACTGTGAATATCAAAACATATCATTATATATCAATTTTTGTACTTGTATCCAAAATGATTATTTAAGGAAAAAGACTAAATAATGTAAAATCACATATTTTAGGTAGGTTAAATTTTCAAAGCAAGAGGTTTTTTGTTAAAGAAATTTAGAGTACTTGTTTATTTCGCCGTTAAATACATTTCATGCAGACTTTCGAAATGTAACCTCAAAGTCCAAGAAAGTCAGTTATTTCACAGTTACTACATTTTGGCGTACAATGTAGTTGATTTCTGATCCACTGGCTATCTTTTTCTTTCATAAATTTTAAAAATCAAACCTGAACATGCCCTGTATGCAACCAGTTCCTTCAATTTATCGGTTTTAAATTCTTCATACGTTTTCACCTTTATTGCGAATTCTGCCTTTGGTTCGCTAGCGATGCCCATAATTTCCTAAAAAAAAAAAATCAATGAATTAGATATTCTTAATAAAGTATTGTTTATCAACTTGCTCGTATAATACATATAAATATATTCAACTAGACGGTAATTATGTTTTTTAAAGATGCACCAACTTTTTCATTAATTCTGCTGCCAATTCCAATAGCAAAAACGTTTACTCCGTTATCTTTGGCCACTTTAGCCTCGTCTTGAGTCCATTTGATAGCGTCCTCTAGTGGCAGGTCGTTGTCATGTCCTCCCGGATTGGTCTCTCCGTCTGTCATCACTATAGCAATTTTGACTGCGTCATTTCTAGCGCCATTTTCTGAATTAAAAATCTCCTCATTCATGTATTCAAGAGCTTTGTAGGTCCTTGTAGCGCTACCCTTTGTGTATTTAATATCTTTGATTGCTTCAAGAACATCCGCTTTGCTACTGAATGAATTGAACAGAAATTCTGGATTGGTGACATTACTAAACGATACTGCAGCTGCTTGCGTTTTGGCAGGTGAAATTTCGAACATCTTTAAAATATCATAGAGAAATTTGACTTGTGTTTCAAAATTTGGTTTCCAAATGCTTCTTGATGAGTCAATAACAAAAGCAATATCGGCCTTTTTGCTGCACATTTCTAAAAAGGAAAAAAGCGATAATGATACTAGTAGTTGATAAAAAATAATAGTTGAGATTCTTGACATTAAGGAGGGATTCTTGTCTGTTTTCTGACTTGCTGAAATATTCAAAGCATATTAATTTTGCTTATATATGTGTTATATATTACGATATAAAACGGTCAAATTGAATCTGATATCATCACTAAGTGATATTGTCCTTTTGATTCTTTGAATTTTCATCAATTTTTTAATGCAATAAATATGAAATGAACCCCTCCTTAATGGTATATGTAACTATCCAAAAACTATCGAAAAACCACTCAAATGAATTTTTAGAATGGCAATCATTTAAACAAAAGAGAACATGTACTCTGCCTAAATACAGTCATTAGCAATATTATTCTATTTGAGAATAATTTATATAATATGTAATGTAAATTACACCCATAATTCAGGCAAAATTACTACTAGTACTTCGATCTTGATGCATATTATTTATGCATTAAAATTCTGACAAAGGTTAGAAAAAGTCTGTAATCGATCTCTTTTTAAAGCTTTCCTGACACCAGATATGGGATCAGGTGCATAGGATGAGTAAACATCCCCTGACGCCAGACACTCCCACTGTGAGCCCTATGAATTAAACAGGTAGTCGTACTCCGATGTCAAATCTAATATTGAAGCAATAAACCTAACAAAGTGTACAAAACATGTCAGAAAAAGTACGAGCCAATGACAGATTGTATTTGCAAACAAGGTCATTTCAACGTCCAAGCTAACTTTAAACGGGATTATTGAAATCCTTGTAACCTCAACCAGTTTGTCAGTAACTTTCATACAGTGTCAGTTGGGAAACATAAATACCATATGCAGGTGATGTTAAAACATTCCTTCATATATAAGAGAAGCTGTCGATATCGATGGAAGAACTGAAGTCATTCCATTTTTTCAAACAATTTAGCAACTAGCTGTTTATGATCGTTTATCGTAAAACAAGATCAGATTTGACAGACTCTGTATAGCCCCCCCCCAATCAATGGGATATATGAGTTGACATAACCATTTTCATTTTTATCATTTGCATTTGAAAATGCTTACATTCAAATTTCTACAATTACATGTATATTCTATCGAAAATAATGGAAGACAGTGTTGAATCTTATGGTACCCGTATCAGACGAACTCAATTTCAAACTTTTGCTATAATAGTTGACGGTTTGCTGTGTTATATTTCTATAAATAGTAATACATTACCTTGTGCAGTTGATGCTGTGATGATCTAAAAAGAAATATTTTCTTTGTTATCCTATCATAAAATCGAAGAAATACAATGAATATGGCTTAGAAGATATATAAGTAGATATTGTATATAAAATAGGATAATTCTATATATCACTTTACAAACCTGGACATGTATTAGGTTTTTTTTTAAATTAGCCAACATATAAAATTAAAATTTAAACTCACACTTAGTAGAATGAGAAGATAAGACATTTTCCTTGGTCAAACATTCAGAGAGACAACATATGAGAGTAAAGTTCCAAGGACCACAATGCCTATTATACAGGATCTGTCTTGTGTAACTAATTGTTCCAGGGAGTAATTAACCCCGCCCCGATTCTTATCATTATACATGTATTCATCAGATATTCTTTGATATACATGCATTTGAAAATGATGCAAAATGCATAATTTCATTATCATGGCGACAATCAAGAGATATAAACTCTACGCTAAAGTAATCTACGCTAATTTTTTCTCAGCAATTTGAATATTATATGCACAATTGATTAACGATCAAAAACAAATTGTAGGACCTTGCTTTATCATGTATCAATGATAATTCTTAAGAAAAAATAATAAGATACATACTCTGGAATATAGTAATTGAGTAGTTAAAATCAAGATATAAATTCCTTTAAGTTAATCGAGTCCTTTTGAGTTTCCAACTAATTTTAAATATCATTATCTAATTTCAAAAAATTACTTTTAAGAGAAATTACATAAATTATAGTTTATCTCCCAATATCTCAACTATTTACAAGTTTATAAAGTTACACCTACAATATTTTACTAAAATGCTGAATTGCATATCTCAAAACGTTCAGCATAGCACGTACTACCGCAAAAACTAAGGTCTGTTACAAATGAATAATCTAACAATCAGGCAAAAAATCATCAAAAGCTACATAATAGCTATAACCAAATCCAATTTGCAATAATGAGGTTCCTTTGACCTACCAATGAAGTAATAATAATGCCATAATAACGTGGGTGGTTTTCAAAAGAGCAGGTCATTGTACATTTTCCTCCAAATCTATCCCTCTTATAATACAGCAAAACAGCGGCACCAAAAAATTTTCAGATACTTTATTTTATTAAGTCATATAGTTATTAAAATTACAAATACTTTATAAAAGCAGTTAATTTAATTAAAAAACTACGTTTCAATTTTCTGCATTTTTTAAATATAAAAGTTGTGAATGAATTCAAAATCAGGATGCGCTCAGCATCTGGGACTACTTGAAATCAAATAAAACAATTTGAATATTACGATTAAAAACTGCTCTGAACCACAGTGTCATTTAATTTATTATATACTAAATTATGCTAAATAAACTGTCTCTATAATACATAAAAATATATACCGGTAGTAGGTGAATTTCATGGGAAAATGCAAAGAGATCATACCTACAAGCCAATTATGAACAATGAAACAATTTTACACATAATGCAACAAAATCATTTTCGTTCAAACATTTACAAAGGTCTGCACAGAATTCTGAATTAATGAAATCTAACAAGAGGCCCAAGGGCCTTAATGGTCACCTGAGTATAAAACAATCCATAGAGGATCAATTGAGCGTAAAATAAATGGATAAGAGATTTTAGCTTTGTTGTCCAAACGCAAAAGAAATAGAATGATCAGGATCATCGAAATAATATTCATTAAATGTGGTTCTTGAGAAGAAATCGAAAATGTGAAAAGTTTATGCACGATGCGCACCTGCACAACGTACGATGACGTACGAAAGCAGACAGCAATAGGTCACCTGAGTAAAACAGTTAGATGTTAGAAGTTAATATGAATATGTGATTATGCACAATTATGAACAAAATACTAGTGAAAATAGTCACTCTTTTTACATTGCATAGGATAAAATCTGAGTAAATAAAATATTCATTTTACAAACGTGCATACAAATTCCAAAGGGTGTGCGGACTGCCATCTAAAAATAATAAATGGAATTAAATTTATGTTCTTGCTTTACAAACAATTCAACCTGAAACCCTTTAAAAGAAAGGATTTATAAATCATTCATTCCATTACATCATTCACAGCAAAGAGTTTCAATAATGCACAGTACAAAACAAAAAAAAACACACAAAGAAACAGATTGAAAAATGCACTTATTTAGCATTATGATGACAAACAAGATAAGGTCCAAGCCTGAAAAATCTATTTTTGTATCAATAATTATTTCCATAATTCTATCTGAACCCCTCCCACCTTATTACCATAATAAGCAATCTTATTGGTGGATAATTTAAGCCTCCATAAAGGCCTACCAAGTCATTCTATAGGATATACTCAATGTAAAACTAGGGATCAGTATTCATAATAGCTGCAGAACTGTAACATTAATATGGTTTTATATTAATCAACTGTTCAAAGTCTTAAAAACCTTATTGATAAAGTTCTGTAGCTATATTTACAATAATGAAATTTACATGTGAAATATAATTAAATAGAAAATTCTTAACAATTTTTTCCCAAATACAAGAAAGAGAGTCTCAGTTAGTCAGTTTAATTGCAACTTCAAAACAAAATTAAATTCAGAAACTTAACAATAATTCTATAACCAAACATACATTTTTACATGTTTCAGTTGCCATGGTTATCTAAATCACATAATATTTATTTTAAAATGTGCAGTGTTTTATTTAAATAAACTAACAGATGCTATTTTTTCATATTCAAATAAAATAATTTCAAGCAATTTCTATTAAAGAAGAGAGAAAGCAATGCATGTATCTATGGTCAGGGTTTATAATTTAAGTACATGTTCAAATTTCTGTAAATTCTTTACATATTACTCTTTATATACAGTAAATTTGGAAAATACAAAAATGTAGTTGTGAATACGGTATTACAAGGGAAAATAATGAACACTTCAACCATGCATGAAAAGTTGTTTATCGTTTTTATGATGTAATTCAAAAACTTCTCTGAACTACAGTGTAATTTAATTATTATATACTAAATTACACTAGATAAACTATAGCTATAATACCCCCCTCCCCCAATAAGTAGGTGAATTCCATGGGAAAATACAAGAGAGAAAGTTAACCTTCAAGTCATTTATGATTAGTGCCACACTTTCACACATAATGCTACAGAATCATTTTCATCAAAACAATAAAGGTATGCACAGAATAATGTTAAAAAGATATCAAAAATACCCTGGTAGAAATCTTTTTTACATTGAAAGGTTAAAATCTGAGCACCTAAAATATTTATTTTACTAACGTACATACAAATTCCAAAGGGTGTGTGCCTACTGCCATCTTAAAATGATGAATGGGATTAAATTTATGACCTTCCTTTACAAACAATTCAACTGAAACTCTTCAGTACAAATAATTTATAAATCTTTTATTCCATTATATCATTCACAGTATCAAAAGTTTTATGCATAAGTTAAAAAAAAAACAAGAGTCCCATGGGCCACATCGCTCACCTGAGTACCTTAGGTGATGCAAATCTTTACCAGATTCTCCCTCTTGCTATACCTATCATGCCCAACAACCCCCTTCCCTTTTTTATTTTAAAACTTTAGAATCTACACTACCCAAGGATGCTTCCACGTAAGTTGCAGCTTTCCTGGCCCTGTGGTTCTTGAGAAGAAGGTTTTTAAAGATTTGTTCTATATTTTCCTATGTAAAACTTGGAATTCCCTATTGTGGCCCCGCCCTACCCCAGGGGTCATGATTTTTACAATTTAATATCTACACTACCAAAGGATGCTTCCATATAAGTATCAGCTTTCCTGGCCCAGTGGTTCTTGAGAAGAAGATTTTTAAAGATTTGTTCTATATATATTTCTATGTAAAACTTGGATTCCCTATCGTGGCCCGCCCTACCCCTGGGGGGTCACTATTTTAACAATTTAATATCTACACTACCCAAGGATGCTCCCACATAAGTTTCAGCTTTCCTGGCCCAGTGGTTCTTGAGAAGAAGATTTTTAAAGATTTGTTCTATATATTTCTATGTAAAACTTGGATTCCCTATTGTGGCCCCGCCCTTCCCCGGGGGGTCATGATTTTAAAAATTCAATATCTACACTACCAAAGGATGCTTCACATAAGTTTCAGCATTCCTGGCTCAGTGGTTCTTGAGAGGAAGATTTTTCAAGATTTGTTCTATATAATTCTATGTAAAACTTGGATTCCCTATTGTGGCCCCACCCTACCCCTGGGGGTCATAACTTTAATAATTTAATATCTACACTACCCAAGGATGCTTCCACATAAGTTTCAGCTTCCCTGGCCCAGTGGTTTATAAGAAGAAGATTTTTAAAGCTTTGTTCTATATATTTCTGTGGAAAACTTGGATTCCCTATTGTGGCCCGCCCTACCCCGGGGGTCATGATTTTAACAATTCAATATCTACACTACCCAAGGATGCTTCCACATAAGTTTCAGCTTTCCTGGCACAGTGGTTCTTGAGAAGAAGAGTTTAAAAGATTTTTCTATATATATTTCTATGTAAAACTTGGATTCCCTATTGTGGCCCCGCCCTACCTCCGGGGGTCATGATTTTAACAATTTAATATCTACACTTCCCAAGGATGCTTCCACACAAGTTTCAGCTTTCCTGGCACAGTGGTTCTTGAGAAGAAGATTTTTAAAGATTTGTTCTATATATTTCTATGTAAAACTTGGATTCCCTATTGTGGCCCCGCCCTACCCCCGGGGGTCATGATTTTAACAATTTAATATCTACACTACCCAAGGATGCTTCCACATAAGTTTCAGCTTTCCTGGCCCAGTGGTTCTTGAGAAGAAGATTTTTTAATGACCCCACCCTATTTTTGTCTTTTCTTGATTATCTCCCCTTGTAAGTGGAATTGGCCCTTCATCTTAACAATTTATACTTCCCTTAACCCAAGGATGCTTTGTACCAAGTTTGGTCAAAATTGGCCCAGTGGTTCTTGAGAAGAAGTCAAAAATGTGAAAAGTTTACAGACGGACGGACGGACAGACAGACAGACAGACGGACAGACGGACGGACGACGGACAAAATGTGATCAGAAAAGCTCACTTGAGCCTTCGGCTCAGGTGAGCTAAAAACCAGAAACAGATTGAAAAATGCACTTATATAGCATACGATGATAAACAAGATAAGGTCCAAGCCTGAAAAATCTATTTTTGTATCAATTATTGTTTCCAATTCTATCTGAACCCCTCCCGACTTATTACCATAATAACTATACTGGCATATTGTTAGATAATTTAAGCCTCTGCATAAAGGCCTACCAAGTCAATCTATAAAACACTCAAATATGTAAAACTAGATATCAGTACATGTATTCATAATAGCTGCAGATCTTTGGAATTATGGTTTTATATTAATCAAAGATTAAAACATATATACCATAATGCTACAGTTCTGCAGCTATATTCACAATAATGAAATTTACTTGTGAAATATGATTAATTAGGAATTTCTTAATACTTTTTTTCCAAATACAGGAAAGAGAGTCTTTAAATAGATATTCAGTTTTATTATAAAACACACATGCATCATCTAACATAACTTTTTTACTATACAAGTTGACATTAAAATTCAGTGACTCCAAAACAAGATGAAATTCAGAAACTTAACAATAATTCTATAACAAAACATATATTCTTACAGGTTACAGTCGGCATGGTTATCCTAATCACATAAGGGGGATTTTAAAAAGTGCAGTGTTTTAAAGTGTTCAGCATTTTTATATAAATGTTTTTTTTTATCACAAGTCATTTCAAGCAATTCGTATAAAAGACAGAAAGTAATATCCATTGACAGGATTCATGATCTAAGTACAAGTTCAAAATTATTTCCGTAAATTTTAGCATGTACAAGTGCTTTGTTGTGAATGGTTTTGCTTTTACATATTAATCTTTATACCAACAGAAAATTTGAAAATTAAAAAAATGTGTGTAATACTAAAGAGGAAAATAAAGAAAGCTGCAGCCATCTGGATTCACAGATTCTCCATTGTTTGATTCCTTCAAACACATCTGAGCCACACAATCAAAGTATTCTTTAAATCTGGCAATCAGAGAATTTCTGAATTCTGAACAAAAAAATGTCAGTTTCATCTCATTTAAAAGTTAAAATTTGGCAAATAGAATTATTTCACTTGTGCTTTTAATCAAGAAAAGCCTCTATAAACTATGTAAAGCATAAATGCAAGTAACATCTTGCTGTACGTGTTTTTGTGACATATTTGCCCTATGTGACATTGTCACTATAGACTGTTAAACAGGACATTCGCCCACATTGATCCCACAAAGTACAGTGTGAGTCACAGCCATCAGCAGTTGATAAAATACATAATGGTGATTGTCCAATACATTACATAGGAATGTTGTCATTTCTACCATCCATAACACTACGCTGTTCTTGTCTGCTGGCAGATATGATTAAAATTCCTATTTTAAAAAAAAAAAAAAAAGAGTACACAAACTAATGTTTTTTAAAAAGATATTTTAATAAATAAATTTGTTTTAATTCAAAATGTACATTCCTTGCCAATGAACAATAATAAGCATTATTTGTTAGGCTGAAAAAGTAATAAAAAATTTAAATCTATTGGGGCAACAATTTTATTTTTTGTAAAATATGCTTCCGAGTGTGATCTGTGATAGTGAATATTTTGAGGCCTGGGAGAGTAGAAATGATCAATATTCCTGATGAAATTCTTTCCCTGACAGTGATGAATACTGTTTACATTTAACCTTCCAACCCACCAAAAATATCCCACCCACCTAAAAATGGTCCGGAGTCGAGACCTTTTACAAATCATTATTTTACATCATGGATTTATTCTACAAAAGTCCTTACAGATAAGAGTCACAAACCAGTCACCAATCTGACTACATGAAGCGACTTCTGGGATTTCAAAACACTCCTCATGTAGTCTGGTTTTAATGGTATTTTTGTCAAATTTTGCCCCCCAAGCCATGCTATAAATGTTTGTATTTTATTCAGCATATACATTTCCTTTGGAAAATCATAAAAGTTAAAGAAGAAATTTATATGAGTGAACAGAGGGTTTATGAACCTTAATTTATTCCTGATTAAATAAAACTGAGGGATACATATCGGATTCAGGAATATTAACTTAAAAGCCAATATCTCAAGCAGCCTGTATAATTATTATATAGAACATAAACTTACTGAGCATGATGAGGTCTGTTTTTCTGCGTTCTACAATTTTTACCCCAGTAGCAATCATTTCTTTTTGTAACAGCCTCTGAAAAACAATTTCCAAACATATATATTCAAGTATATATATTCATGTACACTGTAATATCAATCAAAAATCTTGACCTTGAAAAGAAAAGAGATACATGTATTTATTGAATAAGCTAGATAATTTCAATAAAATTTAATGCCTCTTAATACTTCCTATGAAAAGGTATCATAGCCCCCATTTAAGGACAAGCTTTCCAAATACCCCGGTACCAAAGTATGTACAGACCTGGCAGGTCCTCCTTTTTAATGTCTGCCCTATAACAATAAGCTAAGTCTTTGAAGTTCCTCAGAGCACACGCGTAACAGGTTGTTGTATTAGATGTTACCATCAGTCGTCCCTGGTCTGAAAAACAATGTTAATCTGTAAGAAACTTTATTCTTTTTTAAAATGGCAACATGACGACGTCAAAATTTATCTCGTAGTGTTTGTAAATTTCTTTTGAAAACTGTGCCTCTAAAATTCATTTAAGCAAACATTCGGCAATGTATTTAATTTTGTTTTAGTTAGAATAATTTTACCTTTACATTTGAAATAAGTTTACCTGCGCATTTGTAATACCCTGTATCCAATTTTTCCATACACACATCTTTCATCTCATTTAATGTAATTTTTTTCTCTTCAAGATAGTTCTACAATTTAAATTATCAAGTGAAGTTTAAAAAAAAAAAATTAATCTTCATTTTGCAACTGTACAAAAGGTGTCTTTAACAAACATACATGTACATTACCTTTAAAATGTCAGATTCAAAGGGATTTTCTAAAATCAAATTTTGAAGGCATTTTCTTCCAAAAATTATATCTGAAAATAAAAAAAAAAACGAAAACAAAATTCCAATATTTCCTTGAGAGGATAATTTGACAATATGCATTGTTTTACTATATAGGGTATCACTTTTTTTTTTAAATTCATGAAGAACAAAACACAAATTCTAAGAATTCAACTTAATCTTGAACATATAACAAAATGAATTGGCATTCCAAACCATTGTTTTTCTTTATTAAGGTCTTCCATTTCCAACGGAAGACCTTCTACTGATTCTGTTGGTAAAGATTATTATTCTTTTTTTTTTTCTTCTACTTCCTAGACGCCAACTTTGAAGCCTCATATCTCACTCATTTCTCAATTGATTTCGCTCAAATTTTCAGAGGTACTAGAAGTTACTAAACTCTATCAGAATAATGTCAAAAATTTCAAAAAGTCACTTCTGGTTTTGAGTTATTTCCCTTTAAACGAAAATTTATAGGCTTTCGTTTCCAGACAAAGGCTCAGAGACGGCTAAAGCTGGAGCAGAAATTCTACTGATTCAAGATAATAGAAGGATTGAAGTTGTGCACATCGGTTTTTGTTTTTCGATTTCTCTATTGAAAATGGTGCTCTATAGGGGTCAAAAATTAGAACGCCTGAAAGAGCGAAAATTTACACATATTTTGCTTTTTATCTTCTTAACTAAAAATATTTTGTTAAAACATATAGAACAAAATTTGTGCAGAATTGGAAGATCTTTTAAATGATATCTCGAAAAAAGGGCCGACCCCTAAATTAAGGGATCTAGAGGGGCCAAAGTTTTTCCCAGATATCTTATTGAGAATTTGTAATAAGAAGCAAAGTTGTTCAAAATGTCAAGCTTAATCTATTGAAGTCATCAAAATGCGTCCGGCGACGTCACTTCCGGTCAAACCGGAAGTCGTCAAAAAATGCATATTTTTGCCGTTCTTGACAAGTTTTTGGGTAACATATGTCACTGGAAGCATGAAAACTTAATTTTCCGTCCGTTACTTCCGGTCAATTTTTTAAGGTTTTTGGTGCAAAATTGAAAATATAAAGTGACTGGAGACGACTTAGCTCATTGCTTTCTTTTGTTGACGTCACTTCTGGTCAAAACAGGATGGAAGACCTACTCGTTGCTTTGCAACGAGCTTTGCTCTAGTGGTTCCTACTTTCATAACTATTAAGTCCTTGGATATCTTAAAGTTTATACCCTTACTCTGATCAAGTTTAGATAGATTTGACTGTATTTGTAATAACATCAAATTATTCTTTCAAATTATACAACAGATGCAAAAGTAATTTTCAACTGCTTCCAAATTAAAACAAATTACGGAACTTTAAAATGCAATTCCGAGTTATGTTTTTCATGCTTTAAATATTAAAACAAACCATGAATTTCTTACCTTTGAATCTGCCTATACAACCCATACATTCAGCTTTCCTACAACCCCAGTATGCATGGCAAAATGATCTTAAACAGAACGAACCTAAGGCAAAAAAAGGTATTATTTACAAGAATATGTAATAACCATCTTTCTATTTTTGTAGAAATGTATTTCAATCAAAGTAAATCAATATGTGTAAAGTCTTGTATTTGTCATTTTTTCCCAATATAGAGCCAAAAAATTTTGTTACTGGTGATTTCACTGATTTGGTGAATGTTATTGTATACATACATTGTTGTCGAGTGTCCGCAATGATCCGTCTGTCTGGCATGGGCTGTAAACAACACTGACACAGGATGTGATTCTGGTTTGGAACACACACATATGGCTGGGGAGTAACATCTTGTTTCATGTCATCTCTCTTCTTTCTTTCTTCAAAATCTTTTAAAAAAAACAATTATAATATTTTGCATAAGTATGGTTTACACATTTACATGTAAAAATGCATTTTAAACCATAAAGCTTATCATGTTCGCAGGACAAGGGTTTTCAGTCAACTTTGCTCTTGGAGAGCAAAACAGACTTAAAACCCTTGGCTTGCAAAGATGAGAGCTTATCAAACTCCATAGCCAAAAACCCTTGGCTTGCTAACATGAAAACTTATCAAACTCTGTGGCCAAAAACCCTTGGCTTACAAAGATGAACACTTATCAAACTCCATAATGATTATTTTGCTGTATGTGTGTACGTACCATCCACTTCAGCCTCTGTAGATGTTGTGGGCAGTGTGCCTTGACTGTCATCAGACAAGGTGCCCGTTTGATTGGCTGTGGACTGGGCACCTCCTGATGGGCCTGCCTGATTGGCCTCTGTCATGGGCACTGCCTGATTGGCTTGTGTCGTGGGCACTGCCTGATTACCACCAAAGATATTCTTCACAGTGTTGAGGACTGAAAAACAAAGATGGAAACATCGTTTACTATCTATCACATAAATAGTTGGGTTTGGGCAGAGAAGAAAGGTTCCTGGCAGTTTCTTTCATAACCTAATTTTATTTACACATGTTTATTTACCCTGATTTGACTATACTGCAACAAAAAAGGGAGGGTCAACCAGCCTCTCAATGAATATTTTCAAAAGTAATGTTTGGAAAAAAAGGTAGGGTTGATCCTACATGCCTTATATAAAAAGTATAACTATACCAGAGGTCTCCAATGAGACCAAAAATATTAAAACAAATAAATATGAAAACTAAAATCAGATTCTTATGCCATTGTGTCAAAGTAAAAATTGATGAAAAGAATATTTATCATTTTTATTCTGTTTGACGAATAATCATAGAAACCAGATTTTTTCTTTTTTTAAATGTATCTAAATTTTACTTTAATTTTTTTTTTTTATTGAACTCAAAGCAGATATAGGCATTCTTGATAGTGTCTATATTTTAAATAGAATTTATCATGATCACAAGAAAACTGTGTAAAGTAATGAAATATAATCTGTTTTTTTTTTTTATTATTATTATTCATGGCAATAAAATATTTATAAAATTTTAAGATTTTTAAATATTAATGAGAAATATCTTATGTTCACAAAATGTATTACCATAAACTCTTAAGAGGTGTAGCATGCCACTCCCCACCCCCAACCCCACTCCCCCAGCCCAAAAATGAAATTTCTTCCTTGGGCCTGTATAACAACTATATATTAGGCAAGAAATGTTTAAAAAAAACTACCTACTGATAATTTCAGTGAAAATCTGTGTAGGAGTGAATCACTCCAACACTCGCATCATTATAGAGATCCTATGGAGTTGTAGCCCTCTCAAGCCCCCCCCCCCTTTCCAACAAACACACACAAAATGGGAGGGGGCTACATTATTGTAACTATTTTAAAACATTTACCACTTTGATATTTACCTGTACCTAGAACACCTGTGCCTGTAGCAGGTGTGTTGGGGTCAACATAGTTAGGACACTGTCGACAAACAAACCTCACCGGGTTCCTAAAAAGACAAAATCAATTGGTGGTTATGTCAGTCACGGTATACATCTTATTCACTGAACATATAGCTGTAAGTTGTGTTTATTTTTTACTTTCATTCATTCATTCATCTTTTATTTCCTCCATTACGGAGATTAGAATCAAACATACAACAAATAAGTTACACGAAAAAAGTGGAGATATATATGTACATAAATGTAATGAAAAGAAATAACTTAATCAAAAGGAAAATATTTACATATATTTCGAATGTATGAAAAATCTCTTGAACTATTTGTAGATTTTAACATGATTACATGTAGCTAAATGCACAAAGTGTTTAAATATGATTACAGTTAATCAATTAATACATGTATTTGTATCAAATATATGTCTACAATTTGTAAGCAATGAAGCAACATACCAGTGTCTGAATGACCCCAATGCAAATCCCTGGCCTACATTGATGGGATTCAAAGTCACAGGAGTAGGGGGGCTGTATAAAATTAAAAACATCATAATTGCAAATATATCACCTTGTTTGATAAACATTTTGTTTTTCCTTTCAATCACTGAGTGTCAGATGGTATAGATTACTGTAAATTCCTAAATATATGCAAAGAATTAATTATCGCAAAACTTCATGAAAAGCACCTCTCATGAAATATAATTTTTTCCCTGTTTCTGAAATCAATGTAAAATCTTGTCATCAATTGTCTACTTATGAATTTTTTTCTCACGATTTGACGTTATTAGAGAGGCATTTTGTGATGATTAGTGCCTGTGAAAACTTACTCATCATCAACTTCATCAGAATCCTCCTCATAGTCATCGCTGTCCTCTCCACTCTCATCAGCATCAAAAACCTTGTTCTTCAGCTCCTTGGGATACAGCTGTAAAAAGAAATACAAACAACTGATTGTTACAGATCAATTAAACAATAAGACCTGTGAAGTAATCCAAATTAAAGTATATCAACAGAATGATTTATCATAAGTTCTTGCCATTTTATAGTACTTAAAAAATTAACTTTCAATGAAGAAAACTTTCTTGTCTATGACTTACAGGGTAGATAATACATGTACACATAAATAACAGACAGATAAACATACCATGTCTCTACTTATCGTGTTCTTGGCTTCCAGTTCTTTAATATCTTCCTCTGACCTCTTCTTCTCTAATATATCAAATTCAAATATTTGAAATAATAAATTACATATGTTGTGTAATGCATGAAAAAACACTAAAATACTATTGTGTGAACTTTTATGCCTTAATTGGATTTTTTTAAATGCAAATTAATCAAACAGTTTTAATATATTACTTACCTGGGTGTTCTTTGAGATAAGCCTCAATTAGATTGTTCACAATGTGGTTCTTATTAATCCTATCCACCTTAAGGCGACACTAGAAATAAATAACAATTCATAATATCAAAAGTGGTTCTATATATTAAATAATACATGTAGTTCATTCTATCACTTTCATTTTCTTAAAATGTGTATTAAATTGATCAACAAAGAAATTCAACAATGAATAATTCATGCTTTTGATGTAAATGTATACAGATTGTGGAAACATGCAAACTGAGAACATTACAGTTTGAGGACAAATTTATAGTGTGAGATGAACACTTACAGAAGGACATTCTGAGGACCTCTTCATCCATCCTGAGTAACATCCTGCACAGAATGTGTGCATACAAGGCTGAAGGCTGAAAGAAGACAAACCTTCATCACAATACTCAATATTTTACTACTGTTATCTAAGTAATTACTGGGAAATTACTCTGTTTATAGTATAAATCAAGGATGTGCATGTTTTACCTGACACAATCATGCATGATCTCCTGACATATGATGCACACTAAAGCCTCTTCTATTTCGTCCTTTTTCTCGGCTTCAGCCTCACTGTCTCTGACACTTTTCGACTGTGCGGTCTTAGAACACTTTTCTTGATCGGCTACAGATGTCTCATTTTTTGTCTTATTTTCTGACTCTACAGACTTATCAATGTCTGTTTTCTCCTCACATTTTTCTGATTTCTCTGTTTTTTCACATTTTAATTTCTTGGCTGGTTCCATTGGTGAGGGAGGTTCCTAAGAAGAAAAAAAGTCTTTCCAGTTCAACATTTGTTATATGTTCATGGATCAACAATAAAGCAGAAAAAATTATCTTTATTTTTATAAAAAATGAACATAAAAATGAACATAAGTACATATTACAGACATGTTATACGAAAACATGCCCAATTACAATTTATTTTATGTTGCTTACAAATTTACCGTTGTAACATCTTAAAGGGTTTTTATCATGCATCATGATTTTTTGATATAACAAAGTTTATATGCTATTAAAATCATCCATCAAAATTTTTTGGTTAGAAAATTAATATTTTGGTTGTTTCAGCGATTCAAAGTTTAAATTTCTCAATATGCATATTTTGATCGCCGATGTTGCGCGCCATTGCTCTGACGTCATAGGTGTCAGTCCTGGTCAAGCGAAGTACTTTTGTGTTTACAAAACGACCCAATGGCTATATAAACCCTACTTAATTAAGAAATGATAATTGGTTAATCAATAGATATTTATAAATAATTTGTGGCGTTTAGATGAAAAATCAGCACAGGAAAGGTTTTAGGAAGTTTCTTTTACCTGCCAGGGACTTGGTCGGTGCGAGGATTTGTCTATATATTCAGAGCATTGGTTTATGTACGATCAAAATTTTTCTGTATTATATAAAATATATATTTAATGGAAATAGTATTTTTTTTCAAAAAAAAAAAATCAATATGCATTTAATGCACAAAGACTAGTGTTGTGAAGCTCGTAATGGCGTACCATTTTTAAAGATCGAAGTGTCCTTTCTATCAAATGATGTTCATTGCTGGAACAGATAGAAGATACACAAGATCTGTTTATGTATAATTTATTAAAACAACGAAGAAAGAAAACGTATGACCATTTTTATAATTATTTAAGAAGTCAAAGGTTAATAATTCGATCTATTTAGTCGAAGCCACAGGAGTTGTCAACGGCTTTCTTCAATGCCTTCTCCTCTTTTCACGGTGTGTTTTTTTTTATTTTTATGCTGTAGAAGTTAAAACATATAAGATTGAGCATCCATAGCCAAAGTAATTTTCAATATCAAAATTTCTTTCAACCTAGTGGTGTATTCTTTTATTTCAGGCAAATATATATAAAATGTTTTCCTACGCTTTACGAGGTCTAATTGCCCATTGACACCTATGACGTTTCAGTACCACGTGACCCCTATCTAATTATGGAGATTTTCATCTGAAGACCCTACATTACGGACGTATTATGGCTTAAATACGACAGTTTAAAGCATTATTTTATGATTAAACGATAATTATATGTTTCAAGAATATAATAGTGTTTAATTTTTAAGAAATTTCTATGCGTGATAAAAACCCTTTAACCATTATTTAATGATTGATTTCAAACCTAAAACTTCAAATAGACACATGGTTTTGTAAATATTTAGTGATAAATGCTGTTGAGGTTTTGATATGAGCATAATATAATGTTTAAAAACATATTCCACTGCAAATCTTTAAGTCGCTTCATTCATTTACAAATTTCAAGCAAACTTTTAAAGAAAAGATTTTTCCCATTTCAAAAAGAAAAGAAAAAGTTAACTATAAAAGATTTGTGAATAATTATTTGTTTTCAAGTGAACTGATATGTCCTGAAGTAAATTATGTTGTTCAACTGGCTATTTACAACAATTTTTTTCATGCTTTATATCCTCAATTGGAAATTTTATCAAAGAATGACTGATAAGTATTTTTTAAATCCATTTTTCAAATATATATCAAAATATATAAAACCTACCTTAGTTCTCTTTCTTGATTTTGGAGAATCATCTGTGGACTCCACTTCATTTATATCATCATCTAATACATTGACAAATTTTCAATTTTAGCTTTAGCAAAATATTCAAAAACGGCTTAAAATGTTGGCCATTTTTAAAGACATTTTCAAGACTGAGGAAAATAATGCAATTCATGAGGTCATAATACATGGACATGAGAAACAATTACATCAGTTTTATTTGATATGAAGTCACCAAGGGTGCAAGTGAAATTTAACATATTTTCAACTAAAAATGAGCATTTCTGATTTTTCAGAAATTCACAGGGCCAAAAGAAGCCCCAAGGTGAACCTTGATCTTTGTCCCTGCATTCATAAAGTATTAAAGACATATAGTGACAAACTATGAAGTCCATAAAATTTTCTGAACAAAAATTGTAATTCATCAGAATTATGACTCTGTGGAAAGGTACTTTTACAGTGGTTTGTTTCTCTCTATCAAACAGAGAATTCATTACCAGCCAGTGTTGCCTCTAGCACATCATCAGTGCTGTATTCCTGGGTCTCCTCTAAGCTTTGTTCCTTCTCAAGCTCGGCCATGTTTTGATAAATGTATCCAATGTCTGAATAAAAATGACAAAATAAAAGGTGTTCATTCATAAAAATCCATTGTTTGAGTTCCACAAATCCATTTTTATGTATTAAATTATAGTGTGGTTCATAAATCAATATCTCACAGAATTTATCAAGATAAAGATATCAAAGTAAATGAATTTATTACACTATATATCTAAAAATTAATTAATTTCAATTTTTTATTATGGTAATACAATCAAGACAGAAGAATACATGTATCTATTTTTATACTTACTCAACTCAGTATTATCTTTCTTGTAAACAATATAAAATTCATCTCCATGATTCAACTCCTTCCTCTGTGTGGAAAACATTTTTAGATGTACAATATCAAAAACATCTTATTAACTTAATGTATTACATTTTCCATATATTTTCTTATTTATTTAAGCTATTTTAAAGTGTACAAATGATTCCTTTTTCTAAAAAGAATGTGTTTATCCAGTTATTGTAAAATTAAGTTTTTTTTTTCATATGTTACATGATTATGTTTAAACAGATACTTACGTTTCCTTTTGTAACTTTGCATTTCAAATTCAAGAGTGTTCCATTTGTGCTGTAATCATCAAAGTCAGTTTTAAACGTTAATTAAAAAATAAAATGCTTTCTGTGGTTGTTAGTTTTGCAGTGTGTAAAAATCCAATTTTATGCTTATTTCCAACCTTGTCATACAGTGACAAATGCTAAAAACTGAGTTGTATGCAGACTAGGACCTTGAATTTTCTCCAAAAATCAAAAAAATTCTATGAACTTTAGAAAATTGTGTTGAAAAATGGTACATGACATGTATAATTCGAACTCTCAAATCACTCCAAAGAAAACTTCAATCACCTTGAATCTTTAAGCCAGACTTGACCATCTACATCTCTCTCAATACAACAGTGGTGACCAGACACTAGTTTGTTTCCAGCAAAAGGTATGTCACAGTCTAAAAAAATTATTTGTAGACACAAATTATGACAAAAATTAATTACTAAACAAGAGTGAAATCTCATATGAAATTTTAAAAGCTATATCAAGCATATTTCTCACATGTTTAAATAATTCAGATCATTTTTATTTTTTTTGCAGAATTTTAATCAGAGTAACTTTGTACCTGGTGCACGTCCGATCGTAAGTCTATCTTTGGATAACGGTATAGGTTCTGAATCGACATCAGTCAAACTGACCAACTGACCCCACGCTTCTTCAACATCCATTCTGTCGATGTCACTGTATGCAGAAGCTTTTCAATGTGTTTCTTTTACTTTTATTTGTCTGATAAAATGTTTCCAGTTTTGCTGTCAAGTTCTTTCTTGAATCGGAAACCATTCTCGCTATGTAATTGTCAAAGTCAATATCAGAAGCCCCAGGAAATCCGGATTCGTAAATTGAATGGCACGTCATTCTATTTTTTTTACTAAAATATTAAGTATTTTTTAGCGTTCGATAATTTAATGGTATAATTATACGTTGATTATAAATTTTAATATTTTCTAAGAAGAAATTGAGCTGATAAAGGGATTGCTCGTACATGAACTTGCATTACAGAAAAAAACCTGAAAACATACTTTTGGGCATCCTGCCCCACCCCTTCTTTTTGGCGTGTTCACGTTACTTTAGGACATAAAAAATTAATTTCCTGGTTCTCAGGTCCTCCTTCATCTCTTCCAAGGGTGCCTCATTGACCCTTTTTATTGCTAAATCAAGAAAATAAAAACAGCAAATCACCTCCCTCATCATTTTTGAGGTTTCGTACGATGAAAAAAGCTGTCTCATCATGTTTTGGGGACAATAAAAAAGTATATATATAAAAAAAACATGCCTCCATCCCTCATCATATTTCTTGAAAAAAAAGGCCTGAGAACCAAGGAATTAACTTTGCATGGCCTTTTTTTCGTGTTTTTTCATCGAGAACCGAACACAAAATTGTCAAACAATTACATGTACAATGTTTATGAATATTCACCAATGAAGGAAGGTTTTTCTCAAACAATGATTTGTATTCACAATATGCATCTTTAAGACTGGGAAAGAAGAAGTCTATACCAGTAAGTTTTCATGGAGCGTACAATGCCAAAGTGCAGAGGGGAATCAACCTAAATCACACAGTACAGCAAAATTAGTTGCAGATTTATGCACTCCAAGTACTGATTTGCAAAATTCCAGGTGAAGTTTTTTAAGGCACGCCAAATTCACAAAAATGATCTAAACATAATTTCACAGTTGATAAACTACATGTAAGTTTCACGACTGTAAACTATAGTTTACAAACCCTGAACTAAAGTTAACAATTCGTTAACTATAGTTCTCATCTGTAAAACTATATTTAACGATATTGTTAACTATAGTTTACGAATGCTAATCTAAGTTTATCTGTCTGTAATAAAGCGTTAACAATAGATTTTGTTTATAAACATAGATTCACGTTTGTAAACTATGGCACGCCAAATTCACAAAAAAGGAGATAATCATAGTTTCACAATTGATAAACTAGGTTTATCGACTGTAAATTATAGTTTACAAACCGTAAACTATAGTTAACGATTCGTTAAGTATAGTTTTCATCTGTAAAACTATATTTAACGGTTGTTAACTATAGTTTACGAATGTTAATTTAAGTTTATCTGTCTGTAATAAAGCGTTAACAATAGATTTTGTTGATAAACATAGATTCACGTTTGTAAACTATAGTTTACAATCCTAAACTATAGTTAAGAGTTGTCAATCATAGTTTCACAAATTGTGAAACTCTATTTATCAGATTGTTAACTATAGTTAACGGTTTGTAAACTATAGTTACAAATCATGAAACTGTATTTATCAGATAATCTATGTTTTGCAATCGCAAATGATTGTTTTCGGTGTTAAGTATAGTTTACGGTTGTGAAACATAGATTATCGCGTTAACTATGGTTTACAGATGTGAAATATAGATTAACGTTGTTAACTATAGTTTACGGTTTGTAAACTATAGTTTACAACCGATAAACCTAGTTTATCGATTGTGAAACTATGATTATCTCATTTTTGTGAATTTGGCGTGCCATAGTAAACTATAATTTGCAATCGTAAACTACAGTTAAGAGTTGTTAATCATAGTTTCAAAAATCGTGAAACTATATTTATCAGACCGTTAACTATAGTTTACAAATCGTGAAACTGTATTTATCAGATAATCTATGTTTTACAATCGCAAATGTATGGCATGCCAAATTCACAAAAATGAGCAAAACATAGTTTCACAGTCGATAAACTAGGTTTATCGGTTGTAAACTATAGTTTACGGACTGTTAATTATAGTTAACAACGTTAATCTATATTTTACATCTGTAAACTATAGTTAACGCGATAATCTATGTTTCACAACCGTAAACTATACTTAACACCGAAAACAATCATTTGCCATTGCAAAACATAGATTATCTGATAAATACAGTTTCACGATTGTAAACTATTGTTTACAACTCTTAACTATAGTTAACGATCGTAAATTATAGTTTACAGACGTGAATCTATGTTTATCAACAAAATCTATTGTTAACGTTTTATTACAGACAGAGAAACTTAGATTAGCATTCGTAAAATATAGTTAACAACCGTTAAATATTATTTTACAGATGAAAACTATAGTTAACGAATTGTAAACCATAGTTCAAGGTTTGTAAACTATAGTTTACAGTCGATAAACCAGTTAATCAATTGTGAAACTATGTTTAGCACGCCAAATTCACAAAAATGAGCTAATCATAGTTTCACAGTCGATAAACTAGGTTTATCGGTTGTAAACTATAGTCTACGGACTGTTAATTATAGTTAACAACATTAATCTATATTTTACATTTGTAAACCATAGTTAACGCGATAATCTATGTTTCACAACCGTAAACTATACTTAACACCGAAAACAATCATTTGCCATTGCAAAACATAGATTATCTGATAAATACAGTTTCACGATTTGTAAACTATGGTTTACAACTCTTAACTATAGTTAACGATCGTAAATTATAGTTTACAGACGTAAATCTATGTTTATAAACAAAATCTATTGGTAACGTTTTATTACACACAGATAAACTTATTAGATTAGCATTCGTAAACTATAGTTAAGAAACGTTAAATATTGTTTTACAGATGAAAACTATACTTAACGAATCGTTAACTATAGTTTACGGTTTGTAAACTATAATTTACAGTCGATAAACCTAGTTTATCAATTGTGAAACTAGGTTTAGCTCATTTTTGTGAATTTGGCGTGCCATACAAATGATTGTTTTCGGTGTTAAGTATAATTACGGTTGTAAATAGGCGAATTTGTTGCACATAAACTGGTTCAGGTTTTGGTTTAAGGTTTAAAACTAGTTTTTCAAACTGGTTTAAATTTCAATCCGGTTTACCTCGGTAAAACAAATGAACAGTTTATACAAGATGGCGTCAAAAAGATGAAGAACAACACAACCATATTACACATGCAAATACATTTGTTAAAATTTTTTTCTTAATAAAAGAATCCAAGAAATTATAGCGTATTTATACTCTTTGATTATCTTACTTATAATTAAAGTGCAGTATTTATATTTTTATTGCCTCAACTGAAGATTAATAATCAAATGCATTGAACAATTTCCACATTTAACACGTGGAAAGATAAACACTCAGGTATTTATTATTACTCTTTAGATTTCCAATATTTAAGCTGTCTTTACAGTATGTTCTACAATTTACCATACATGTTGAAGTTTGTTGGTTTTGAAAAGGAAAATTTAACATTCTGTTCATTATTATTGAACAAACACCATTATTTACAATATGCAGCATTTATCTATTCTCTGAAGCCTTATATATAAAACATCAAATAGCAGAATGTCACATTTTAGTCAAAAGAGTTGTTTGTCCTCGAAAGAACAATTATTTATTACTATTTATTATCTTTATTAGAATAATCACCATCTTTCATCACCGCCATATTGGAATACTTCCCGCTCTTTCGTAAACCGAATAAACCACCATCGGAGGTGGTTTGGTTGGTTTAACAAACTAGTTTCAGTTACAGCCAAAACAAATGGAAAACCGGTTCTGGGTTTAAACTAGTTTAAAACCAGTTTGTGGAACAAATGAACAGTTTACAAAACTGGTTCAAAACTAAACCCAGTTTCTGAGAAACAAATTCGCCCTATCGCGTTAACTATGGTTTACAGATGTAAAATATAGATTAACGTTGTTAACTATAGTTTACAGTCCGTAAACTATAGTTTACAACCGATAAACCTAGTTTATCGACTGTGAAACTATGTTTAGCTCATTTTTGGGAATTTGGAGTGCCATAGTTTTTCACAAATTACCGGTATTTTGGAGTATTTTATCAATAGTACAGTTGGGGTGCCATCTATTTAGTAAATGGGTTAAAACAACTCCAAATTTCAAAAGCATAGAGTAAATTAATAGGTTTAATGGTGGTTTTAACGTCTGGATTCATGGAAATAAAATTGTTCCTGAGTTTAAAATATGATTCTAATGCGTTTTAATAAAGCTGCAAAAAAAAAATGCCACACCTAGATATTTGTATTCTGACACACAGAAAGAGAAGGGGATCAAATGTGGGAGCAACTGGGTGTCTAAAAACTTATTTCATCTAACAATAAAGACTAAACCTTACAACTCGTACATCAGCCTCCTAGCTCAAAGCAGCCGATCTTAACTTCACTATCTTGGAACGTTTGAGGCATTTTTTCATCAACATTGTCTGTGTGTTCGTTATTGGAAAAATCAAAATGCAATACTGCCATACTGTTAGAACACAAACTTAGAAAAATTCTAGAAACTACCTTAATAGTATATACACTCTAAGTACTACAGATTTTGAAGATTGAGAGTGATTCAGAGGATAGACCTGTTTTGCGGCACTGCAGTAAAGGTGGCGTCGCTATCCTTATCAATAAAAACCTACAATTCCCTGTAAGGGAAATTCCTTGTGATGCTATATACAAATAACATTGTTGGTATGCAACATAATCCGATACTGTGCCTCTTTTCATTTTTTATCTACCATCTGATAATGTTCTTGACGACTATACGACTGACACTGACATTATGCAAGGTTTATATTAACAATATTGTCAGTACTGCGAAGTCTTATTTGCTGGTGACTTCAATGTTAGTATCCTACGTGAATTCCACGTAAAAAAACGCAAAATCCGAAATTTTACTCAATTTCGTTGAGCGATGTGCTCTATGCACCGTCTCCTATGATATATTTCCGCGTTGAAGGAGAGCAATTCACACCGAAAGAAA